TTAGCTGCATTTATAAGAATCCATTTATAAAATTTCATTGAACCGGAAAAATATAAATACAAATATATTTTTAAAAAACGTTTAAAAATGCCAGTTACTGAGATGTTTATTCTCAATATTTGCTATCCCACCTTAATTCGTCACAGTGGTTACGAGATGAGGTTAAATAGTTTTCACATGAGATGATTAAGAAATATTTTAAAAATCAAATGGCAGGATAGGGTCCTGGATACAGAAGTGCTAAAAAAATTGAATTCAGTCACTATATCCAATCCTGTGGTCTCAGTGTATCAGGTGACTTGGGCACATTGCACGCATGGAAAAGTCTAGAATTCCCAAACATGTACTGTAAAGGGAACTGTTTGAGAGATTGCGTAACATTGGATGATCCAAGCTTTGCTTCAAGGACCAGTGTAAAACGTCCATGATGAAATTTTCTATTAATGTTGCAAACTGGGATGCGGTTGTCCGGGATCGAGTGGAGTGCAGAGCTGCTGTTTCGCTGGAGCAAGCATCTATGAAGAGAATCAGTCCAGCGCGCCGTAGAGCCTGAACAAAGACACAAATGTCCCACAGTGGATGACTCCACAATATTCTACGATTATGCTCGTTGGCAAAAACCGTACCGATCGTGCATTGTTGGTTGTTTTAGACATGAGCGGCGCTGTGTTTTAGATTATTTATTTTCCGCTGCCGATCGTCGCCATCGACGAAAAAAAGGTCATATATACCACCCTTATATGGGACCAATTACAAATATCGATATTTCTCCTTTTTCGGGACGCCGGCAATTGACCTTGGTCTCTTCTAAGGGCGAGATATTGCCTGGATATATGTTCTTTATTTGAATTTAATTGAAATCTTTAAAATTTACGAGTTTGTATTAATCGTAATACCAACGTCGTTTCAAATGAGACATAAAAGCTTTTATAATGTCGTTGTTCCTCACCTCCATGAGACCGGAGTCTAAAACAGCTCAGTTCACTCGGCACTTCCTCACCATATTAACGCCCCAAGGGTCAGTCAATAATCTTACATCCACCCGAGTGGGGAGGTATTGTCTGTGTGGAACGAACTCTGTACTCAGTAGTAATGGTCAACAAGACAAGCTATTTCATTATTACCCAACTCCTAGGCTTCTGTGCTGTAGTAATTTTGGTCACATATGAAATGTGATTTCTGCTGGTTACTGTCAACTGTACAATGGAGAATTTTTTTGTTTCACATTGCACGAATGAAATATTATACTCACACACAATATTGCATCTCAAGCACTTCGATGTTGTTTAATGGTTAGCAGGCTTGTGACGCTAGATCAATTACGACTGAATAGCGAGTTCGATCCTCACTGTGTGCCCCATACTTTCGCACTTGTGCCGCATCTTAGCTACGCTTAGAAAACACAATAGCACGTATTAGCAGTTAATGGAAGAGTCGAGTAGAGTTTATTAAAGAATTGGGGGAAAAACTCACGTTCATTGTAATAACTTCATCGACAATGAAATACAGAAGGCATTCACTATAAATTCTCTAGGACAGTTGTTTTTGTTTTTAAATACCTCAGTACTTTAATCTATTCTATGTTTCTATATACAATCGCTTTTGTTCTATGTGTTGTATCCTTCAGTACGTAGGCGATCATGGCTCTCCACATCTTCTTATCCCTTATAGCACTTAATGATGCTTGTCTTTTCAATTACCTCTTTCTGATTATAAGTATAAGCGTTCTATTTGCTTCCATTTTCCTCAAGACTTCTTTGTCGCTTACGTGCTGCGTCCATGGAATTCTAACCCTCCTTCTGTAGAACCACACGTCTCTTGCCTGTAGTCTCTTTTTCATTTATAAGGAAATTGTCTAGCATTCATTGCCATATAGAAAGTTATGTGACATAACAGTTCAACATGTTTTTCATTGCTTGTGACAGAACGTTCCTATTAATTGCATTTTTTATTCATTTTCGCTATTCAAATTCGCCTTCGTATTTCGCTGTCACGTTTCCTGTCCTTTGTTAAACCACTCCCCAAATAATTAAATTTTCATATTAGCTTTGATATTTTCTATGGCTATACTTCGTGGTTTGTACCTTTGGATGTTCTGTATTTGAATCCGGCAAAGATACGTCTTTTCAGATCGAGCTTTCATTGCTTTTATATCAAATGCACCACTCTCACGTTACGACTCAATGGATCTGCGCACAAAGTAATTATTTCTAGTGACTATAGAAGTATGTAACAGAGCAAGTTTATGTATTAAAATACATTCTGTGATGTTTCTGCATTTAATGTATAGGTTGTTTATCTGAACGAATCATTTGTTAAAAATAAACTTCCATTAGACCTGTTTCCCCTGCTTGTTCAACAAGATACATTTTCTGATTGTGTAGCATGTTGTATTTGCTCAGTTAGTTGCATTTATAAGAATCCATTTATAAAATTTCATGGAACCGGAAAAATATAAATACAAATGTATTTTTTAAAAAATGTTTAAAAATACCAGTTACTGAGATGTTTATTCTCAATATTTGCTATCCCACCTTAATTCGTCAGTGTCGTATTTTAAAAGATTGTGTTACTCCAGTTTTTCTATTCAGGTGATAGGGTAAATGCATCCGAACTCTTGATCATTCTGTCTCGATCAGCCACCGGTGGCACTGATCCATCCAAGAAGCAGGCCCATGCGAAGTTTATTCTGTACTTTTAACATCTTTCAGTAATTCCTTTTTGATAATTGATATGCAAAAATCTGCCTTATAAAATCTTGTAGTATATATATATATATATATATATATATATATCTGTGTGTGTGTGTGTGTGTGTGTGTGTGTGTGTGTGTGTGTGTGCAGCCCACTCTCAACAAAATTACATTTAAAACTAGCCACAAAACATTACATTGCATATAGACATATGGTTCTCTTGTTAATATTTCGGCCTCTCGCGTGGTATGACGTCATAGGTCCGCATCTTGAACTTACAAAGCGCGTCTGCTATTCCGCGACCGTTATCGTCGCATAGAAATCTTCTATGTCAACATAACAAAATGTTATCTTCGATGGTAAATATCTTTTTTAAAATGTCCGTATAACTAACCTGAAAATGGCCTATGTGAGCCGAAAGCTTAGATCAAGGACCAACTTAAAAAATATGCAAATGTTGGACAATTTTTGTCTTTATTTCCACCCGAAATTAAAGCCAACATACGAACATGATCAGACATAATAGACCTTCATTGTCTCTTCTGTTTAACAATATATATATATATGTATAGAGAGAGAGAGAGAGAGAGAGAGAGAGAGAGAGGGAGAGAGAGAGAGAGAGGAACGTTTATAAATCTAACAAGTTTCTTCAAGTTTCTTTTTTTATTAAAGCTTCATTAGGGAATGAAATATGGAGGAGTGTGAAAGTATATAAGAATAAAATATTATTAAGGAGAAAAGACAATAAAAGAACAAGATTTAAGAAGACAGAAGATAACGATTGACATTGCATATATATTTTTGAAGATCAAAGTTAACTGGAAAGCAAGAAGCTGGAATGGAGTCCCACAAGCAAGAAGTGCGAGAGAAGAAACTGTAACATAGAACGTACGGTTACATCTACAAAATAGTAAATGATAAATTAAATAAATGCAGCAAATGTCGTAGTTACTGTGGTGTTTATTCTCAATATTAGCTGACTTTAGCTTAGTTTTGCACATGGCCAAGTGAGTGTAGGAAGATTGTGATATATATATATATATATATATATATATATATATACATTTAAATTACAGTCTCAGTTACGGTGGACTTGTCATATCTTGAGAATGTCTAATGACAGGATACCCAAGATCCTAATGTACAGCCAGTTTGATCAGGGCTACAGAAATGTAGGACGCCCAAGATACAAAGACAAGCTGAAAAGCAACTTGTCAGCAGTCAATATACCACATAACACCCTTGAGCGCTTAGCTTTGGAGCGAGTAGAATGGAGACAAACGTGTTTTAGTGGACTCAGCAATTCTCAATCTGCTTGTCTGAATCATCTTCAAGAAGCGAGAGCAACATCTAAAAGGTCAGCCAATCTAACAGTGATCTCATCTCATAATCCCCACACTTGCTCCATATGTGGCCTCCTTTGTAAATCACTAGCGGGTCTTAAATGCCACTTAAGATTATCGCACAAACTTTCATAACTGAATCAATAAGCTGTCAGATCCTCATACGTCGAAACTGACGGGAGAGTCCATTATATATACATATACATGTCGACCATCCCAGTGACAAAATGGCGAATGATTTTTTTTTCTTGCAAATGTTATGAGCTTTTTAATGCTTCTTAATTTTCACCGACTGGACAAATCCCCTTATGCCGTGTCTCGTTACTCGTTCATTACCGCTTGCATAAAAACTGGGAAAGGACCATTTAACGTTCATAAGGCAAAAAAAGTTTTAAATAATATACGAACTCTGGGATTATATCCGTGACGTTGGGTCGTCTCTTTTTTTCTGTGTCGTGTCCCTTCAGAACTTAGGTGACCATGGCTCTCTACAATTTACTGTCCTTTGTAGCTCTTAATAAATTTCGTCTTTTTGTTATCTCTCCAAAACCTTATTCTGTCATCAATCTAAGCAAGACATGCTACAGTGTGTTTGGCAGGAGCTGGACTACCGACTTGACGTGTATCGTGTCACAGGTGGTGAGCATATTGAACATTTGTGAAGCTTTGTGAAATCGATTATAAATTCTACATCCTTTTCAATATCTTGTTCGAGTTTTGATAAATAGATCTTTTATTGATCAACATGAAGCCTATTTAATTCCGTTTGCCTGGTACATGTAGTTACTCAGATATTCACCTTTATAATTATGTCAATTTTGTGGAGACAATTTTTTTGTTTTTGCAATTTTTGTTTACAATCTAACTTTGAGAAAGAGCACATGGCACCAAATCAGTGTCTTATTTATAAATTTTGCCTTTTATTTATTTATTATTAAGATTTCGCATTTTATTTTTTTGTCAGGTATCACAAAAAACAACACCCAAAACGGCCGCACGAATGCCTTATTTCATGAAAATGACGTCCGAGAATTCCTGGGAGACGTCCACAGTTTGATCCTTGACAAAGCGCTCTACGATGGCACAGAAAACGATCACAAGATCGTAGACTTTCGTCATCCATTGGAAATGTTGGTAAGTTAGTTTCTTTAAATTTTTTTTTTTTTATATCTGGAGGCCATGTTTCGACAAGCTTTTAAGAATAGATTAGCAACAATGAAACATGACTCAGGTCATCCTCCAATGTGACTGATCAAATACTCAGAAGGTAATAGCTGTCGGTCTAAATTATTTTTATTGAGTATGAAAACTGAAGTGGAAGAGCTTAAGATGTATAAAAAAGATTGAAAAAATGTGTAGCGTTGCAACTGAGACCAGACACCAGTTTCGTTCTCAATGTGTAACTCCTTCCAGTCCATGTATAACCTTCTTTGTGGCTTTTATAGAGCCCTAATTTTTGAGCATCTGAAGCAATTTAGTCATGGTTTTAACCATTTTCTTCACATGCAATACCTTATTAATTGGATATTAGTAGCGATTATGCATTTATGTTCAATAGCATCGGTTGTATTTAGGCTTCGTGTACTTAATATATTATCTCCTTGATTCATTTGCTTAATATATTTTCTTAAATATATTTTTTGGAGAAAATTTTGAACTTGGGGAGACTGGGGGGAAAATTTTGGACCTGATCAAAATTTCTTATCATACATTTTAGTTAACATCTTAATTGCCAAAATCAGTGCAAGTTTTAAGATTAAAAGATATTTTAAATAGTGGGCTCTCTGAGGAAGGAAGATAATCAAAAAGGGTTCTCTGGTCAAAAAGGTTTGTCACCCCTGATCTAGAACGTCGGTACCTGCTCGCAGGCGAGCAGCGGGATCGTCATCATCTCTCCTTATTGCCTTTCACCCAACTGGTGGTGGTGGTGACGGAGATGGATATGTGTAGGTCCAGCTTACTTCTGTGCGAGTCTGGCCTTCCTGACAGTACGTCGCAGATCCTCTTCATGTTGACGGTTGGACTCGAAAGTTTCGCTCTCCTTCCCCGGATAGTCCTACGCCGGGAAGGACGAACACATGGAATATTTTAATATTCAACAGAATTCACTTAAAATGTCAACTAAAAAGAAGGAAAACAAAAAGAAACAAATGGTCAATACTGAATGTTTGTTCGGCGCTTCATCAAAATTAAACGAGGACTAATAGCTGAAGAGATAATCGGAGTCGACATAATGCAACAAATAAAAATGCGTCAGAAATTGATACATACTGTGACGCAGATGTACGAACACGACGCCAAACTTCAGGTTCTGACTTGATTTTAATTGCGAAAAATCCGCAAAGAATAACGAACTCTGTAAACGAATGGTTTAATTAAATATGGAGAAAGCAGACGGCAAACAATTGAATCAATGCACGACCTGAATACCGGTAATTCATGATTAAGAAGAAGGGACAAAGTACAAAAAACGAATTAGTCTTCTCCGAAAAATAATTTAATGAGAAGTTTTATTAAAAGGATGATGAACAAATGTAATTAAATAAAGAAAGAAATATAAAATATAAGGATAAAATATAAATAAAACTATAAATTAATGTTTAAACACGATAAATAAAAATAGCAGGTAACTTTATGAATGTTCAGAGACTTTGCAATATGTTTTTATTGTTATCCGTCCTCTGTCAGTAAGCATATATTACAATAATAAATTCTTTCCTTTAGATCTCTGAAGTTAACTGTTAATGGCCAGTTTTGTGCTGTCAACGAACACTCGTTGCCACTTTTTTTGATGCCAACGAATACTCGTTGTCACTTTCGTAATGCTCGGTGTAGTAGAGATTTTATAATCGCAGATACAACTTTAGTACGCCGTTGAACAATACTGGTGTCAGAAGCCTTCGAATAATCCCACAATAATAGTACTTGCTCGATAATACTCACTCGAACAGTAATCCATATAGTGATCCGAATAAAGGAGTAGTATAGTGAATAGAGTAGAGAATAGCGGTCCGTATAGTAATAGAGTAGAGAATAGAACTGCAGATCCGAATAGTAATAGACTAGAAATAGAGATCATTTAGACGTCACGCGACTTCCTATATATGTGTTTCCTCTATGGTCACGTGGTCTACCTAATTCAGTAATGGGAACGCCTGTGTTTGCTCACTGACGATCTATGGTTAAACTCAAGTGTCGGCATATATTCCTATATAACAGCCAGTCTTCCAAGGCTCGAGCGATCGAAGTAAGCGTCTCCTAAATTTTGCTTCTCGGTCAAACCCTCTTTCTACTTTAAATAAATGGTCTGCCGAAGAGCATACTCCGATCATTTCTGAATATTTCTGCTGATTATACAATGGTATATGAGTGCTTCTTCAAAACTCTAAATGACCAGAGCTTGGCAGCTGATCTCTATTCAGCTCAGTGGGTGGGAGAACTGTCTGGTCACATTCAATACCTCGAAAACAAAAGTAATGACGTTCCATAATCGCCAAGCAGACCAAGAACTTTCACCGATCGTGCTGAACGGGTGTCCTCTCGGGGATGCCCATGCCATGGACATAAACTCAACCCATATTTCAAGTGGAACTTGTACATACGATCCAGCGCGAAAAATGCTGGGAAAATATATTCGGTTCCCTCTACTGCTCCAGTAATTAGCTGACTCCTCCCGATAGAGTCTACCTTTACAAGAGCCAGATCACACCTAATATGGAGTCCTTGTGGGTGACGAATTATTTTCCACCCTACAAGGCCTTTCTCGCAGACGAGACGTCGCAGGCCTCTCGCTGCTCTATCGTTATTTATGTGGAAGTGTTCAGGCGCACTACATTCCACCAGTTCTAACATTCACGGCTAAAACCCGCCATACCCCACAAAGTGTAGAGAATCACCTTCATTTCCTTCGTATTCCATTGGTGAAATACTAGTTCCATCTCCCACGAAAATGGTTTTGTATACCCGAATCCCAAGAGGATGCTTCCTCGATCACTACAATCTTGACCTGTTCAAGTCTAGTGTTAACTGTTGTCATCCCCACATATCCACATAAACTGTGCCTTTTACTTTTTAACCTTCTACTTCTAGTGGCTCTTTTGCCTTCTACATGGCGAACATTATTGTAAAAAAAATGCAGTTAATTGTGAAATTAATAATCTTTAACGGTTTTACAATATGCAACTCACTATAATAAAATTATCATCATCATCTGTATGCTGTGTCCCTTCTGGATGTGGATGATCATGGCTTATGATTCAACTTAATATGAATTGACCAAACATGCACTAGAGGGTTAGCTTAAACATTAAGATTTCAAAAACGAAGTGCATGACAATTGATATAAAAAAAACAATTTCAATCTGCAACTCAAAATCTACAATCAGCAAATCACTCAAGTTACGGAGTTTGTATATTTCGGTTACAAGCTATCATCAAACAATAAAATGGTTGCTGTGCAGCATCACATCACTCTGGATTTGGGCAGTTTTCAACAGGAACAAAGAAGTGATAACATCGAAACAAGTTCCTCATCATTTGTAGGCTAAGATCTTCAAGGCTTACATCGTACCAGTCGTGTTTCGAATGTGGTAAATCGACGAAGAAATCACTTCAGTCCCGTAGCGCACTTCTTCACAGTTGGAATGGAAGTCCTCGGCAAGTGTTTACCACGTTCTCATGGATTTCCCTGGCTGTTATACATTGCTTTTGCAGATACTTTATGAGTGCTCGGCCTACTCTTTTGTTCATTTTTAGATTTGTCACACACCTCTCACCTGCACAGAGAATAAGACAGAAATCTGAATTAGTTTTTCTACATTTATAAAAAAAAAAGAAAAAGTTCTAGTGTGTTGCCACAACAAAAATATTCAGCAATGGCTTCTGAGTGAGTCTAAGCACTTTTTGAACGACCCTTTTAATTGATTGAAGCCTAGTGAAGACCGCGCCCAAGAAACGACCATCGACAATTTCGGATATTCAATAACATTGTTCCCTCCCCATCTGATTAGTGCCATTAGGATCCCCTGTGGATTTTAGGTCCACGGTCTCACCTCACTAGGTGTTGCTGCTGCGGTTTTTGTAACAAGTAGGTTTTAACGGACTGGAGTTGCCAGTTGAATTCCTGGATCCTTTTTTCTGCCTCAACTAGAAGTGTCCAAGTCCCACAGCCGTAGATGAGGATAGATACGACCAGTGATATACAGAGCTTGAATTTGTTATGGAAACATGTTGCTCTTCCAATATCCTTTCCAGTCTGGCTATCGCTGCTGTGGCGATCAGTGTCACCTGCGTCGCAGGTGACATATTTAGATATATACACTTAAATATACTCTTTTTTCTTTCATTGGATTACCGTTCGACAAAAAACTATAAAGGCGATTTGGTTTTCTTAATTTAGCACAACTACAAAAATAGTTAACGAATAAAAGGTGTTATTTTCACCTTTTTGTGCGGCTTTATCGTTACGTTTTATCACAAATATGATCAGAGCCACTAGAAGGCAAACTAACTTCAGAAGAAAAATGTCGTTCACGCTATTCTTACTGTGCCTTAAACACGTACTTATTTTTCTTATTGAATATAGCATGTTTCTAAACGTCTTATCTCCAAGACGAAACCTTTCGACAATTTCTTCATTGGCTTACTTCCAAGTTCATATGGTTCTTAACGATAAATAAATTTTTTAAATGAATTTCTGATAAAAATTCGTTAACTCAATTCTTTAAAAAAAATGCTAATGTCTCTGTATTTAATCATGTAAATTTTCTGAAATGAGTCAAATATAAAAATGAATTGAAACGTTTATAATGCTGTGCTTTGCAGAAAGAACTTCAACTGGACATTGGTGACAAGGGAAGCGATCACAAAACCCTGCTCGGCTTCTGTGAAAAGCTTATTCAGATGAGCGTAAAAACCGGTAAGGCAAACACATTTTTACTTATTTTATCGGCTGATAGCTTTACTTCTTTTTTCTTGCCAAGAATAAACGGTTCTCCTTTGATGTGTCATCTCATTCAAATACGCACATATGCATTCCAATTTAATTCTGGCAGCATAGGTCTTCATAAACTAGGCATACGTGTATATGATCGGGGTACTTCGTGGTAGTGTAATGTTTAGCAAGCTTGTATCACTAGATCAATTAGGACTGAATAGTGAGTTCTATGCTCACTAGGTGCGCCACATTTTCGGCCTTGTGTCACATCTAAGCTACGCCTTTTTGGGGGGACTTCGACATGGTGTACTGGTTAGCAAGATTGTCTCATTAGATCAGTTACGACTGAATAGCGAGTTCGATCCTCACTAGGTGCCCCACATTTTCGGCCTTGTGTCACATCTAAAGCTACGCTTTTTTTTTGGGGACTTCGACATGGTGTACTGGTTAGCAAGATTGTCTCATTAGATCAGTTACGACTGAATAGCGAGTTCGATCCTCACTAGGTGCCCCACATTTTCGGCCTTGTGTCACATCTAAGCTACGCTTTTTTGGGGGACTTCGACATGGTGTACTGGTTAGCAAGATTGTCTCATTAGATCAGTTACGACTGAATAGCGAGTTCGATCCTCACTAGGTGCCCCACATTTTCGGCCTTGTGTCATTTAAGCTTTTTTTGGGGGACTTCGACATGGCCTTGTGTCACATCGACTGAATAGCTACGATCCTTTTTTTTCGGGGTCACATCTAAGCTACTTTTTTGGGGGACTTCGACATGGTGTACTGGTTAGCAAGATTGTCTCATTAGATCAGTTACGACTGAATAGCGAGTTCGATCCTCACTAAATGCCCCAGGTGTCCCTAAGCTACATTTTTAGCAAGATTGTCTCCTTACGACTGAATAGCGAGTTCGATCCTCACTAAGTCCCCACATTTTCGTCCTTGTGTCACATCTAAGCTACTTTTTTGGGGACTTCGACATGGTGTACTGGTTAGCAAGATTGTTTTAGGGGACTGAATAGCGACATGGTGCCCCACATTTACTGGCCTTGATTGTCTCATGTCACATCTAAGCTACGCTTTTTTGGGGGACTTCGACATGGTGTACTCAAGATTGTCTCATTAGATCAGTTACGACTGAATAGCGAGTTCGATCCTCACTAGGTGCCCCACATTTTCGTCCTTGTGTCACATCTAAGCTACGCTTTTTGGGGGGACTTTGACATGGTGTACTGGTTAGCAAGATTGTCTCATTAGATCAGTTACGACTGAATAGCGAGTTCGATCCTCACTAGGTGCCCCACATTTTCGGCCTTGTGTCACATCTAAGCTACGCTTTTTTGGGGGGACTTCGACATGGTGTACTGGTTAGCAAGATTGTCTCATTAGATCAGTTACGACTGAATAGCGAGTTCGATCCTCACTAGGTGCCCCACATTTTCGGCCTTGTGTCACATCTAAGCTACGCTTTTTTGTGGGGACTTCGACATGGTGTACTGGTTAGCAAGATTGTCTCATTAGATCAGTTACGACTGAATAGCGAGTTCGATCCTCACTAGCGTAGAGAAAGATATTCGGAATGTATCTATAAACTTTACAGCACCACCAGCCATTATTGAACGATGACTTTTGCTGATTCATAGCTGATCCCCATGATTGCTGCCATTTGTGCTAATGTGAGAGTCATTGGTCTTCCTTAATCGAGATATTTACCTTCTGGGTGTGCTCTTCCATGAACTGATGTTGATGAGCGACCAGATCATCTTTCGTCCATTACACTTGCCCTTCACACATTAAAAGCATTTTACCCATTCATACAGATTATGTTGATTAATGGTGTGTGCTCCCATAATGCATCAACATTCAGCAATGGATTTCGGCAGTTTATACTCATTCTGCTCACAGAAAACCCACTACAGTATATTGTTCCTTGATGGTGCAATCACCAAGTGAAGCATCCATACATATAACCTTGTTGATCACTGCCACTGATGAAGGAATGTTGCACACGGCTAAGTAACAGTCATCCTGTACGCACATGTGATTTAATGCATCAACAACAATCCACCAGTCTTTTTTTTACAATTTCCTTTATTTCCAATTTTTTGGATTGTAGGGTAACTACAATCCAAAAATATAATTCACTTGCAATGTGTATTCAAGTGTCAAATAAATAAATAATCAAAATGTGCATATGAACAATAGACTGTTGCTTCCCGTGTTTTGACATCCTCTTCAGAGAGCAGGCCTGCGCAGGGTTTTATCAGAGATCGGCGGTTGTCTATGCATCACCTGTCCCCTCTCCATGCTACCGATGTTGTCCAAGTAAAAGTTAGTGTACAATACAGCTTAGTACTAGCGTTGCCGCAGAATTTGCCAGTACGAAGTTGAACATAACATCGGACTGCCTAAGGGTGTCTAGTTCCAGAGTTATCCTCAGAGTTTATTCCCGAAGCATTTCCCATGATTTTTCCAAAAATTTACAGGAAGACACGGATATTGCTTTATGTAGAAATATGCACTGAGTGTCTCCAACATTTGGCGAAGTAACTAAAATTAAAAATATAACCGTCACCAGTATCTGGAGGCATCACGCAAACTGAGATGCCATGTCACCAATATATAGCGACAAATATAAGCAAATCAAGCGGTAGAGTAATGGATAGCGGCTCGGATTGAGGAAGCAGAGGTTCGAGTTCCAGTCGAATCCATTCATTTACGTGCTAATACCCTTGGGAAAGGTATGAATCCTCTTCTTCTCTCTCCAGCTAAGGGTAAATAGCAGAACAGACAGGATTCTATAGCCTCGGATGGCAATTGGTCTATCGCAGAAAGATTTTATCCTACTGCGAGGAAAAAATCTGTCTCGTCAGTCATGTATCGAAAGATAGATGATCGCCTAAGCGTGTATCACGAACGGCACATAATTCACTGAAACTTTATTTCGATGTTAACCAATTAAGGAGAACGGATGATTTAACAATTATCAATAGAGGAAAAAGGAATAGGTAATCCGAGTTCAAAGACTGAATAAGAACATGTTCACTCTAATGGCATTGTGATTGTTTTTTTACCTCAGCTCTGGGTAAACTAGAAATTCAGACTGGTTCTCTTGCTATAACTGGAAATCTGTCTTAGGGAATAATAACTGAAGCCAAACCTGGAGCAGAACCCCTTGTGGTCGCTTGATTTCAGTTTACTTCTTTTGCGATACTGATGCCAATATATTTTTTAATCAATTCACCCGAAGCACGGCCATAATGTCATTAAGACGTGAGGTGCTGCTGGGAGTAAAAGAAAATGAAAAGACTCCAGAAAGAGTCGAAAACACAATCCTAAACAGGAAACAAGTTTGCCCTCGTAATTATAGTCAATATTAAAGACGCACGATTATATACACGTATGTTGATTTTGTAAACGTAGCAGATGTGGCAAAAGGCCGAAAGTATAAGCAAGCCGGTGAGGATCGAACTCGCTATTCAGTCGTAACTGATCTAATGAGACCATCTTGCTAACCAGTACACCATGTCGAAGTCCCCCCAAAAAAGCGTAGCTTAGATGTGACACAAGGCCGAAAATGTGGGGCACCTAGTGAGGATCGAACTCGCTATTCAGTCGTAACTGATCTAATGAGACAATCTTGCTAACCAGTACACCATGTCGAAGTCCCCCAAAAAAGCGTAGCTTAGATGTGACACAAGGCCGAAAATGTGGGGCATTTGATACACGTTCGTGATACACGCTTAGGTGATCATGTATCTTTCGATACATGACTGACGAGACAGATTTTTTCCTCGCAGTAGGATAAAATCTTTCTGCGATAGACCAATTGCCATCCGAGGCTATAGAATCCTGTCTGTTCTGCTATTTACCCTTAGCTGGAGAGAGAAGAAGAGGATTCATACCTTTCCCAAGGGTATTAGCACGTAAATGAATGGATTCGACTGGAACTCGAACCTCTGCTTCCTCAATCCGAGCCGCTATCCATTACTCTACCGCTTGATTTGCTTATATTTGTCGCTATATATTGGTGACATGGCATCTCAGTTTGCGTGATGCCTCCAGATACTGGTGACGGTTATATTTTTAATTTTAGTTACTTCGCCAAATGTTGGAGACACTCAGTGCATATTTCTACATAAAGCAATATCCGTGTCTTCCTGTAAATTTTTGGAAAAATCATGGGAAATGCTTCGGGAATAAACTCTGAGGATAACTCTGGAACTAGACACCCTTAGGCAGTCCGATGTTATGTTCAACTTCGTACTGGCAAATTCTGCGGCAACGCTAGTACTAAGCTGTATTGTACACTAACTTTTACTTGGACAACATCGGTAGCATGGAGAGGGGACAGGTGATGCATAGACAACCGCCGATCTCTGATAAAACCCTGCGCAGGCCTGCTCTCTGAAGAGGATGTCAAAACACGGGAAGCAACAGTCTATTGTTCATATGCACATTTTGATTATTTATTTATTTGACACTTGAATACACATTGCAAGTAGAATTATATTTTTGGATTGTAGTTACCCTACAATCCAAAAATTGGAAAGTAAAGGAAATTGTAAAAAAGACTGGTGGATTGTTGTTGATGCATTAAATCACATGTGCGTACAGGATGACTGTTACTTAGCCGTGTGCAACATTCCTTCATCAGTGGCAGTGATCAACAAGGTTATATGTATGGATGCTTCACTTGGTGATTGCACCATCAAGGAACAATATACTGTAGTGGGTTTTTCTGTGAGCAGAATGAGTATAAACTGCCGAAATCCATTGCTGAATGTTGATGCATTATGGGAGCACACACCATTAATCAACATAATCTGTATGAATGGGTAAAATGCTTTTAATGTGTGAAGGGCAAGTGTAATGGACGAAAGATGATCTGCTCGCTCATCAACATCAGTTCATGGAAGAGCACATCCAGAAGGTAAATATCTCGATTAAGGAAGACCAATGACTCTCACATTAGCACAAATGGCAGCAATCATGGGGATCAGCTATGAATCAGCAAAAGTCATCGTTCAATAATGGCTGGTGGTGCTGTAAAGTTTATAGATACATTCCGAATATCTTTCTGTACGGGGAACTAGCCACTGTCAAGAGGGAACAAGTGTGATTTCATGTTCGCTTCAAGAACATCCGCAAATGGGACAAGAGGACGATTGACGTGGACATCGAGAGGTAGGAAGATGTCGTCAATGATCGCTTACTCTTGAGACACGATTTACACCGAGGGCTGGAGCGAGGAGAGAAGAAACTGGGGCTTGTTGCCGGTGGGGTGCGAGAAAGCGTGCTTGAAGGAAAGAAAACAACATGCCGACGTCGGAGGAGAGCACCTTCACATGCATTCGTTGCAATCGAGACTGTCACTCCCGTGTGGACCTGTACATAACAAATGCTTCGCCGCCATCAACAGCTAAGACATAACTCTTTGGGCGAAGATGCATGTTTCTCGGGACCGAGAGATGTCATTTATACATCACATAGTACGTGATAATGCTTCTTTATTTTTCATGCGGTATCTAATTTTTAGAAAACAACATAGATTATATATATCATTTGGAAAATCCCCAAAAGAATATTTGTTGTGGATTCCGAGATGAAATTCGGTCTCCAATGAATGACAAACGCAAGAAATAAAGATAAGAAATTAAATGTATTTACGCAATAATACAATGGGTATCCATTACTCTACCAATGCAAAAGAAAAATAATGCTCCTCCATTACCTTATATGATTGATATTGAGGTGAATGGCCAGTCGAGTTAGTAAATCCAGGAACGCGGTTAGTCGCAATAATATATATATATATATATATATCTTAGTCTCGAAGTAGGACTTCCTTAGAGTCTACGTGCTTGTAACTGACTTCTACAAGCGGTTACCTCACACTATTACTCTACCTGCATCTCAATCTCTATCAATCTCCCGCTCTGTATATTCTGACTGACTCTGGGTATTTAACGGCAGCAGTCCAAGTAACACTCTGGTCGAGTCTACTTATATGAAAAAGGGGTGGACCCCATAATATTATACACAGAAGAAAGTAGTTTGGTTTGGGGAATGGCTTCTGAGGTTAAGAAAAAACGGCCATATTCTCAAAAAATATTACCACTAACAAACTTTCATTGGTACATTGTTAATTCTTTTTAGAATTTTCTTTTTTAATTGCAAAAGAAAAATAATGCTCCTCCATTACCTTATACTGATTTTGGGTCGGCAATCAATGTGTTGAAAAGAACTTACAACAAATTTTGTATTGAGCTAGTGTAAAGAAAACTACTTTTACCCTAGATACATTTTTTAAATTTTCGTTCAATGCTATGCTTAATTTCAGGTAAACCTGGCTTCTATAACCAATTGTATGGCTTTGTCGATCCCTATGGTTTGGCTGGTTCCTGGGTGACAGACTCGATGAATACTGCCCTGTAAGTATACTAATATCTACATCTTTAATCCATTACAATCTGTCGTATGGTTGAGTTATCGACGACTAAACGAGTTCCGCCAGCAGTTTTTTTTCTATTGAGGTGAATGTCCAGTCGCCCTACATGTTTAAAAAAGAAATATGTCAAAGAGTAGATGAATCCTTTCATTGGATCAACAGCCATTTATCTAGTACAGTTTGTAGAAACACGAGTTCTTTACACGCCCAACTCCCCACGATGGCATGATGTGTCCCATGGTCATTTTAACATGGGGTGCCGATTCAGGCTGAATTCAAAACTTTCCCGTTCTCCCGACCACTGTCACGCTGACGTCGGTATTTCACCAACACGCTCTTTGTAGTGCAATGTGGAAGATGTCGCCGCAGGGTTTAAATCCCTGAGATTAAATATTCCTCAAATTTTTATCGTATTCTGAAGACGGAAACACAACAGACATGTAGAATTACAGCAGTAGATGGGGTGCTGGCCATGGAATGAAGCAACCCACAGGTACTGGGGTTTTGCGCTCCTAGGCTAAATTTTAGGGTAAGCAGCAGTTGTCTATAAGGTGTCCTATCAACCACTATGTCGCAATCATATGGGGAAACCTAACGTGTCTCCTACAGGAGAAAAGTTTATGGACATATTCTGTTGAAACACCGGTCCTCGTACGATCACCGAAGTTAAGCAACATCGGACCTAGTCGGTACCTAGAAGGGTGACCGCTTAGAAATACCAGCTTCTGTAAGATTGGATGTGCAGGTGGTGTAATGGATAACGGCTCGGAATGGGAAATTGGGGACTTGAGTTCCAGTTGGATTCGTTATATTCATTTACGCCCAAATACCATTGGGAAAAGTTGAGAATCCACCTCTTCTCATCCCAGGGGCACCTCGACGTGCAGTAATGGTTAACAAGCTTGACTCGCTAGAATAATTACGACTGAGAAGTGAGTTCGGTCCACACTGAGATTCCCATACTTTAGACTTTGTGCCAAATCTAAGATACGCTTAGAAAATCACCACCTCTTCTACCTTCCAGCTGTAGCTTAATTAGTAGGACTTGTATTAGTAAATCAATATTATCTCCAAAAGCAAAATGACATTCTAAAAGTATATTCTCACTTTAAATATTCTGCAAATGGCTGATAAACCTTTAAAAAAATCAATCAATAATTCTGTCTTACAAAGGGATTTTAGCAAACTAGTTATGGAGTATTTTTACTAAGTTAACATGATTTAAATCAAAGATTGCATTTATAAATCATATAAGTTATTGTATATTTTTAAGCATTCATTAAAGCCTGTGCCCTTAAAATCGTTCAGTTTCTCTATTTCAATTCTCTAAATATAAACTATTAATGCAATAAAATCTTTGTTGTCCCTTTTATTTTTCATCATATCGTTTCATTTCTCTTCTTAGGCATACATACGAGGTCTCCCCGGCATTTACCATGATTGAACATTACCTCATCCAGAAGGTGTGCAAAATGATTGGTTTCAACAATGGAGACGGAATATTTTGTCCCGGTAAGCAACGTTATCTGAACTTATGCAGCCAACCAAGAACCACATATTTGTCTTCTTCTCTTATGCGCCATGTTTTTTTAGAACGTGAACTATCATAGTTCTCTACAACACCATGTGTTTTTTGTTGCTCTAAGTAACTTTCAACCCTTTATCACCCCATTTGTCCTTATTTTGCTATTCATTCATACGAACTGAAGTAGGTTATCACGGCTCTCCATAATTATTTTTTTTGTTGCTCTAAGTGACTTTTGTTCCTTTATCCTTTATTTTTGTCCTCCTATCCATTCATACAAACTCTTTGTTTTCTCTTGCTTCTCTTGCCTTCAATATGCCCTGCCAGTGTTAAATTTTCTTGACCCATTTTTCTTATTATATGACCCAGAAACTTCATCTGTCTATTTCGGATTATAATTTATCCTTGTACAATGTATTTTTCTTAAGACTTCTTTTTGTTCCTGTTCTGTCTATGGTGTTCCCAGCATTCATTAGGAGAATCATATGTCCGTCGTTTCAAGTCTTTCCTTTATCTTTGTCCAACATTCACTGCCATACAGGAGATTACATTAGATTTGATTTGATTTGTTTGTTTAGCGGCATATCAACGTTTTATGGGTCATTTAATTTCGAAATTTAAATTTTCTGAACACAATTTTATAGCGTCTACAAAATATATCTTGAACACAATTGTATGCCTTCAACCATAAATTTATTTCTGGCCATTTTACTCTAAAATATATTGTTGGTAATTCTACTGTAAAATGTAAATTTTATATAAAACTAGCTTCAAACCCGCGCTATCAGGCGGCATTTAAGCTAACTTCTGTGGGGGACTTTTGGTTTAGCCATCATCACAATACCCAGGGAGGAGTAGATGCGATAGACATCAACAAACTACAGAAGAACTCAAAATTGATAGCCGCATTTAAATATTGAATTAATGTTTAAGCTTACCTTTTAAAAGCTCAACGATAATTCTTCTGCTGCCACTTACTTTAAAGACGATTTGATGTACGTAGATCCTTATTTTCCGTACAAACAATTATTTTTATTTCATGGGTGACAGAACAGGGAACAATTTTTAAAATAAAATCAATATAGTGTAAGGATGGAAAAATAGAAATTAGAATTAGTTATTCAACATTTAAAGAGTTAGAGAAACATAATAGCTAATTAAGTAAAGCGTATATTATGAAATATAATATATTAATATATATTTTTAACCTCGCATAATCTGGCAACCCTGAATCTGAGCTCAACTTTTCTAGGGCTTTTGAATGAACTATGACTCTTTCAAATCGGACCAGTGGGAGCGGAGTAGTTGCTTGGATACACACACGAACACAAACACATGTACTGTACTTTAGATATAAGATGTCGGTTGACGAGGCAGGGTATCACACGTGCTATCACGCGTTATATGTAGAGAATTGTATGCTGGTAATTTTAGTATAAATATGCACTGCTGGTAATTTTACTATAAACATGTATTGTTTGAAATTATTTCATATAAAATGTATTGCTCGTATTTTTACTATAGAAATATATAATAATTTATAATTTCACAGTGTTTTGTTTCGTGTGGGGGTTCGCTATTTGCCCATAACTGGGACCCGAGGAAATACTACCCCCACCCCACCCCACCCCACCCCACCCCACCCCACTCCGGGTCAGGGTAGACCTTCGAATACCAGCAATTAAGAGGCGGTTCCACGCTCCTCAAAACCTCCAATCTTCCGATTAGAGGCCTTGCTGCCGGATGTAGTTTATCGTCATACTCTGGACGAGGACATTAAATATTACGTAGCAGTTCATCACAATTTTCTTTGTTTCTAATTACATTTTTCTATTTCTCAGTACTTTGTTTATCTTTTGCAAAGTATCCTTCCCTTATTCTTATAGGCCTTCATGTTCCTTTTTCCGCATTTCCCGTCGCCTGTTATTAAATTAAACAGATACTTGACTTTCTGCGCCTGCTTGGCTTTGACGTCTCTTATATGTCTTTTCCGTGTTTACAGGCGATCAAAATTGAACAGTCCATTATTTATGAGGTATCGGCAGGATGTAACGGCCATGCTAACTAAGCAGAATTGCAATAAGCTTTATTAACAAACAGAATTGTAATAAGATTTTTTTCATCTATAAAATTATTTGAATAAATGTATTCTTACATATTTTGTCTTTGATTTGTACACTGTAAAACTGTCAGATCAGTATAATTCTCATTCCTTCCTCAGGTGGCTCATTTGCAAATATGATGGGTATACATTTGGGCCGATATAAAATGAACCCCGACTTCAAAAGAACTGGCATGTACAACCAAGAACGAATGGTAGTCTATGCATCAGAGGGGGTAAGTATATTCCGCCAGAATCTATTTTTGATGACCAAAATAGTAAGTTATATAAGCATACATTCATATAGTCGTGTAAATATGGCGTCGAGTAAAACTCGAGCGTTTTTTTTGGTTTGTTTGTTTTTTTTTTTTTTTGTTTTGTTTTATCAATTCGTCCCAAGCAAGACGATAAAGCAAATAATATGCAAGGAGCTACTTGAAGTGAAAGAGAATGAAAAGACCTTAGAAGGAACAGGAAACCCAATCCTAAAAAGAAAAGGAATAATCCTCATATAGTGTCCAGAAACCCGAGAAGTGTGTGAACCGGACGATAGACGAACCTATCTACTCCTATTGAGAATAAATAAATATTAAATAAAATTTCAGTGTTAAGCCGGAGACGTTAGGAGTATAGTGTTGAAGTAGACTTTAGAAGGAACCGTTAACCCAATCCTAAATACTAAACAAGGGATAAAACTCTACTAAGGAGGATTTCTTTGGTGACAAAGAAAAGAGTACTGAGCTGCTACGTGACATCTGCCCCTCTATACGGCAGCCAATGTTGGACGGTCTCCTTAAAAATGAAGAAGAGGCTTGAGGCAGTGAAGATGTGGTTCTACAGAAGGATGCTAAGGATATCATGGAGTGATCGTGTGAGCAATGAGGGCCTGGAGAATCTGATACTCACAGATCTGAAGACGGATTGGGATCGCCAAGGATGCATTCCAAAAGCTCAGCAAAGTGCTGCGAAACAGGAGGATTTCTTTCGGGACAAAGAAAAGAGTACTGAGCTGCTACGTGACATCTGCCCCCTATACAGCAGCGAATGTTGGACGGTCTCCTTAAAAATGAAGAAGAGACGAGTCAGTGAAGATGTGGTACTACAGAAGGATGCTAAGGATATCATGGAGTGAGCGTGTGAGCAACGATGAGATCTTGTAGAGGATGCAAACAAGGAGGAAGCTTATACTTAACATAAGGAAGAGGCAGATGGAATTTCTGGGAAACGTAATGAGAAAGGAGGGCCTGGAGAATCTAATAATCACAGGTCGAATAAAGGGGAAAAGAAACAAGAGAAAGCAACGCATGACATACATAGCGAGCTTAAGCAAGTGAATGGCAAAGCGTGGTCTGGGCAAGTTGGTAGAGGCACGGAACTTATTGAGAGCGACAAGAGATAGGGGAGAAGTGGAGAGCCATGAGCGCCTACGTCCTGAAAGGAAACGGCACGTAAAAAAGAAAGAAGATTGTTCCAAAGAATAGGGAGGAGTGTTAACCAGACGATAGACAGATCTATCTACTCTTATCTTGAATTTTTCCTAAGACTTTTTTTTTTTGTTCCTAACATGTACTGTCCATGGTATTCCCAGCATTCATTGGGATAATCATATGACCGTCGTTTCAAGTCTTTTCTTTATCTTTGTCTAACAAAGACGGTCTTCCTAAATCATATGTAAAAGTCAATGTTTTTAATGCTGTCGAAGAAATCTCGCATTGTATATGAAAACACAGTCTCCTCCAGGATGGAGTTTATTCTGATCAGTCAGTCAGTTATGATACACGCTTAGTTGATTATGTATCTTTCGATATATGACTGACGAGGTAGATTTTTTTGCCGCAGTAGGTTGCCATTTCTTTCTGCGGTAGACCAGTTGCCATCAAAGGCTATAGAACCTGGTCTGCCCGGCTATTTAGTTGGGGAGAGAAGAAGAGGATTCAACCTTTTCCCAAGGGTATTAGCACGGAAGTGAATTTAATGGAATTCAGCTCTCCGAGTCTTATCTTCTTATTATTCTTATACATTAAGCATAAAGACAATAGATGAAAGAAAAGAAAAGAAACACACTATAAGATATATTTTTTAATCGGTCAGGTAATTCGATATAATAATTATATATTCCATTGTTATGGTAACACGAGGATTTAATCAATGCCATTCAAAACGTATATAAATCACGTTGCGAAAATAACGGAATAATTTATAACCAACGAATGCAACAAGACTAATATAAGGCTTTTTGTTTCGTGTTAAAATTCTTTCTGTAAATAATTTAGAAAGTAAAATTTATTTCTTTATCAACCTTTATCCTCACCTTGCATTTTTTTTTTAAATGATCTATTCAAATTAAAAGAATTTTTTCAACTCTTAATTTTACTTCTTCTTGTTAATCAGCATGGGAAATATTGATATTAGTTTGTTACACAAATTCGTTCGTTTTCGATTGATTTGGTTGGTTGATTTTGTTTAGCGGATTTTAACTCTATGGGTTATATAATGCCAAACTCTAAATATTTTCAAATCAGTTGTGTGTCTTCAACTACAGATAAAATGTATTGATGGTTATTTTGCTTTAAAATGTATTGTTAGTCATTTTACTTTAAATAGACAGTGTTGGTAATTGCTCTCTTAAGCGTTGGTTTAGTTTAGTTGTTTTTTGTTTAACAGCATATCAACACCTCAATGGGTTATTTAATTCAGAAACCTAAATATTTTCAACGAAACTGTGTACCTTCAACTTCAGAAAATATATTGTTGATAATTTTCTTTTTATATAAAAATGCATTGCTGGTATTTTTACTATAAAAATGTATTTTTATACTTTCATAGTGTTTTGTTTTTATTGGGGGGTCACTATTTACCCATAGCTGGGACCCTAACAGGTGCTACCACTACGTCGTTTGTTTTTGCGCCGAGTACATGGTACCGGTGACACTTGCAGATTGGCTTGGCATAATATTTATTTATTTATTACTCTTTTGTTCAACAACCACAAGAAATATTTTCTTTAAAGGACAGGAAGTGAAACTAACAGGTACTGGAGTAGGGATAAAGTCAGAGGGTCGTGATTATTATTTGAATTTATTTTATCTAAGTGCAAGAATTTGCTATGCTACAATCGTTGTATTTTTAAAAGCGAATAAATAATTTGATGGTATTTCTATAGTAAAATATATATACTTTTACGATCAATCGTATCATTATCGATGCAGACACGAGAATGACTAAATTTTCTGACATATTTCTTAAATAAATAACTGTAATGGATTTCTATAGTAAAATAACTTCCAATTAATCTATTATATATATTTTATTATCAACCGTTTTACGATTGATATTAGGTTATTACATAAACGCTTTCATTTTTTTATAATTTATTTTAATACTTATGGTGGAGTAATGGATAACGGCTCGGGTTGAGGAATCGGAGAGCTGAGTTCGCATTCGAATTCCATTATATTCACTTGTGTTATTACTCTTGGGAAAGGTATGAATTCTATTCTCCCTACCCCCCCCACCTAACTATGGGTAATTAGTAGAACAGACCGGGTTGCCTTGGTTGGCAACTGGTCAACCGCAGAAAGAACTGGCAACCTACTGCGGCAAAAAACACTGTCTCGTCGGGCATGTATCAAAAGATACATGATCGCCTTAGCATGTATCCCGCATGGCACATAATGGACTGACTGAGTTATTAATAGCGCTGCTGAATCAGACAAGAATTTATTCTCCTACATTGTTGACGACCTCCTGCCAACGATCCACTAACTGATCAATGATTCGACGATAGAAATCAATAAGTTTTGATTAGAAAAATTCGTCACGCCATATTTTAAGCTCTATATCGTTGTTGAAGAAATCACCAATCAAAAAGGCAGTAGTCTGAAGGGGATAAATCAGGAGAATATAATGGGTGTGGCAGAATTTCCCAGCCGACCTTTTTAATTGCATATTTGGTCATGGTCTCGACGTGGAAACGAGCACAGTCATGTTGAATAATCAGACTGTTTCACCGATAATGTTTTCAACTGAATTGGCTCTTCGATCCTGTATACTGTTATAGTAAAAGCCGGTTACCCTCATTACTATCATGAATGGACCGATCCATTCATGATAATTATTACTAGGTAATTGTCAGAAGGAGGAAGATAATATTATTGCAGTGACTTGTCTAGCTATATACCGAAAACTAGGGCACCTCGCCGTGGTGTAATGGTTAGCAGGCTTGTCTCACTAGATCAGTTACAACTGAAAAGTGAGTTCGATCCTCACTAGATGCCCCATATTTTCGGCCTTGTGCCACATCTAAGCTATGCTTGGAAAATAACTATATCGAATACTACAATCACTACTGATTCTGCCGAGCTAGATGTTGTCTTGTCAAACCCCACATCTCAACAAACATACAGCTTAGCATAGACTGTTTGGTTGTTTTGAAGCATTTCATATCATTTTGTCGGGAATGACGTCATCTCTGTTCATCTCTGTACACAACACAAATGTCTTGAGCAGCTTTTATAGCTTTTTGATCTTGAATTAAAAGCAAAGAGAAGAAAATGTCGAACATGTTCATTCTTGTTTACTTGACATTCCATCTCAAAGGGATGTCTAATCTGAAATAAAAATCCAATTACGTTAGACAACAGTTTCACAGGATGACCAGAGTAACTAAGAAGCAATAAATACCACGGAAGATTATTCTTCAAGGTCAGTTGCAGAACACCAGAAAAAAAAATAAAATAAAAAAGCGAATAATCCAAATAGTGTGGTGATTTTCTAAGCGAAGCTTAGATGTGGCAAAAGGCCGAAAGTGAGGATCGAACTGACAACTCAGTCGTAACTGATCTAGCAAGACAAGGTTGCTAACCATTACACCTCGTCGAAGTGCCCAAATGATTTCCTTAGCGTAGATTAGATGCGGCACAAGGCCGAAAGTGTGGGGTACCCAGTGAGAATCGAACTCACTACTTATTAGTAACTTTCCAGAACCGACCGGGGAAAAGAAACACCTGTGGCAAGAGGTCACCGGTTAGTCGCCAGTTTGGGCGTAAGAGCTGCTCTTCAGATATCAATGGCTATACCAGTCGGCGGATGAATTTCAGAGATGGCGAATCGGCAAGCCATTTCAATATTTTGCCTTGAATGCCATCATGAACCACAGGTGGGGGGGGTGAACACAGCAGCGCTAAATATGCTAAATGAATAGATGATGATACTGATTGCTTACTTGACTTTACATCTTAAAGGGTTATCTGATCTGAAATAAACTTTCAATAACGTTAGACAACAGTTTCACGGTATGACCAGAGTTACTAAGAAACAGTAAATACTACGAAATATTATTCTTCAAGGTCCTTTGCAGAACATCAGAAAAAAACGAAGAAATATATGTAACACCCTAATATTAATGGCAAGTTGAAGCTTAAATAAACTTGAATCACATTTCTTCCTACCTTTTAATTTGTTCAATAAATGTTGCTAAGTTGGGATGCTCAGATGCCATTTTTCAAACTGGTTTGTTGTTCGCGAGATATTTAAAGACAATTGTGAATAGGATGACCAGAAGATTATTGAAAATAAATGTTCTGCGATGTCTTCATTTCAAAATTTTCCTATACAAGTTGATTCAAAATGTCCCCCTCCCAAATTCTTTAGTTCATTTTTTTATTGCCAATATTTTAATTTTATTACATTCGAAAAAATGCAAAGCCCTCTTATTTTCTAAAACCAGCATTAAGTAAATGGTTAATTTCTCTTAATAACATTGTTATTGACTAAAAGAAAGTTTTCTACAATATTTTCTATTTTCACAACACCATTTGTCGCATTCTTTCTCTTTGACATTAAAGTTATAAATACAAAGATAAGTCACAAGATTAGTAATAAGATAATAAGATTAGTAATAAGATAATAAGGAGAAAAAAAGAAAGAAATTAATCAACCGCATACTATGACCAACAACATGCAACACTAAGATCTATTTTGAAAATCTGACTGACCTATGTGAAGATTTTCATAATGGCGAAGACAAAGGAAAAGTATTTCATGTGGGGATAAGTGAAGATCATAGTTTTGCAAGAAGATATTTTAAAAAATCTCCAAGCTCAAAACCATCATTCAAAAATAAAAGGGAACATGACCTGACTACCAACCTACCTCAAACACTAAAAACAGTCTACCACTTCGTTGGCTTCTCGAGAAAAATGACTTATTTTAGCAAGTGGGTCATTTTGCAGGCGAGTTAGCGCCCAGCCGGTTATGTGAAGTGATTTTCCAAGCATAGCTTAGATGTAGAAGAAGACTGAAAGTATGAGACACCCAGTGAGGATCGAACTTACTACATAGTCGTAACTGTTCTAATGAGACAAGCTTGCTAACCATTACACCGCCTCGAAGTGCCCCAGCTGGTTATGTATACAGTAGTTTTTTTAATCGTAACTTAGATGTGGACAAAACCGAAAGAGTGTAGTACCCAGTGAGGGTCTGACTCACTACTAAGTCGTAATTGATCTAGCGAGACAAGTTTTCTAACTATTACACAATTTAGAAGTGACATAATGATTTTATATAAGCGTAGCTTAGATGTGGGGCAAGGCCTAAAGTGTGAAGCACCCAATAAGGATAGAACTCACTCCTCAGACGTAACTGATCTAGCAAAACTAGCAACCAATGAGGATAGAACTCACTGCTCAGACGTAACTGATCTAGCAAAACTAGCAACCAATGAGGATAGAACTCACTACTCAGGCGTAACTAATCTAGCAAAACTAGCTTGCTAACCACTACACTATATCGAACTGCCCGTAGGGATTTTCTAAGCGTAGTTTAAATGTGTCACAGGGCCGAAAGTTTGGAGCACCCCGTGAGGATCGAACTCACTAAGTCATAATTGATCAAGCGAGACAAGTTTGATAATGCTTATACCACATCGAAGTTGCCCCGCTGTTTATGTATATGATGTCGATAACTGGTATGAACAAATGCATGCACAAATATGTAGAAAATTGTCAACACTTCAGTTATTATTTTCTTGTTAATTTCAGTCTCATTACTCTTCGTTACATGGAGTCATTTTCTTGGGACTTGGGGCTGAAAACCTGATAAAGGTGAAGACTGATGATCGTGGACGGATGTGTATGAAGAATCTTGAGGCCTGCATCCAGCAAACAATAAAAGAGGTAACTTTTTCTTTTTTCTTTTTTGGTCATTTTGGAATCGATTCGTCTATTCTTTTAAACAAACATGAAAACAAACACTATACTGTGCTTTATATTCGAGCAATAACCTTTCATTTCTCTTCCACAAACATTTTCTTTTTCTTTTTTGCTTTTATATCTCGATTTACATTGAATCTACAAGAAAAAAAAACAAAAACATGTTAACTGTCGAAACGAAAGTGTGGGTGTGAATCATCTGAGGCAGCCAGCTTTTCGATCAACTCTTACCAAAGAGAATCGTTCATAGGTTTTAAAAGTTTTTTTTAAGAGCTCTAATGTGTGTGTGTATATATATATATATATATATATATATATATATATATATATATAGCCGTATTCCAAAACAATTGTTTTATTGTGAACTGCGAACAGAAATGTCAGGGCTCAGTGTAGAAGGTGTCACTTTGAGGAGTCACGCAAGGCTTAAGAGACATGTTTGTAAAGGTGTCCCCGTAAACTTCCTGAAGACACCCCAAGGCAGCACGATCTGACGTGTACATATTGTGATAGTCTCTTTGTCGGTTGCTGAGTCACTTGAGAGCGCACCGATGGAGGGTGGATATTGACTATAAAACCGTAAACGTCCAGCAACTGAAATGTGATATTTGCGGTAAGACATGAAGGTTCAAAAGCGTTTTCATGCGGCATTTTAAATTGCGTGATAATGTAACACGAGCTGTTAAACCTCTTAAGTGCCCTGTTTGTGACTGAGTAAGTCCATTGCTGGGCTAAAGAGCCAAATTCATTCAGCACATCAGTATTCTCCAAACGTTATGTAGTAATGGCCGTACTCAGACACCAGTTGGTAACCACCATATATATATATATATATATATATATATATATATATATATATATATATATATTAAAGAAAAACAGACCACTTTTAAGGTACCATTATAATAATTTATTTCATCAGAGCCCTTTTAAATATATATATATATATATGTTTTGAACAATAAAACATTAAAAAAATTAAAATCTTCAGACACACTGGGTTGTATATTAATATTCTTTCGTTTTTATTATTTCAATTAGATTCCTCGACTAGTTTCAGCCAACATGGCCATCATGAGGCGAAAGAAAATTCTGCTTGTTAGTAGCAGTGCACTACAGAAATGAATGACGATGGAGAAAATGAAATTTATCTGTAGTTTCCGTTTATTTTTATTTTTTATCATGAATTTTGGTTAGTCCTTGTGTTGATCAAACAGTCTCTTTTTAAGTTGTTATTTAAGATAAAAAGCTGGATGGTTTCATGCAGCTCTGAATTCCTTATATATATATATATATATATATATATATATATATATATATATATATATATATATATATATATATAATAAAAAGGCTTAAACACTAATATTCCATGGTCATAATTTATTCCATTGGAATTGTAAATACGATCCAATTCATCAGACCTACAAATTCAAAAAGAAAACAGAAAAAAACAACTCCGGGAATAAAAAATAAAATTTAGTGAGAGTGTATGTATGAGAGTGTGGGACGAAAGTTAGAGTAAATGAAAGCTATAGAGAGGGGTAACAGACGAGAGAAGAACAGAAAGGTCTAAAGATGAAAGGGGGGTTAAAATTTAATAGAGAGAAGTTTTAAAGAGGGGAGTCAAAGACGGTGTAAGTGAGAGAAATATGAATGTTCTCAGATGTCTAATACATTAAAGATGTAACCGGAAATGATGCATTTTGTGGTGACATACACACATAATAGACGATATAATCTTAAAGATCAGAAGATGAGAGAGGGAGAGGAAAAGAAAAGAATATATATATATATATATATATATATATATATATATATTCGGAAAGACGACAACTCACTACGTCTTTCTATGCGATTAGTGAGTGGATGGTGAATTTTTTATGTTATGTTAAAAATAGAAACTGGATGAAAATTAAATGCTTTTTCTTCATTTAATAGGCTTTTATTATTTTCCTAAAGCAGCTAAAAGATGTGTGTCTTTTAAATTTTGATCAGGAATATATATATATATATATATATATATATATATATATATATATATAATAAAACACTCTGTAGTGTCGGTGGACGGATTTAAAATCCAGCAACACCAAACGCCTCTAATATGTATAAAACAAACAATCAAACAAATTGGCAGGTAGATACTCTTTTGAGTTTGGACATTGGAAATGATAAGGTATATACATCCAGATTTTAAACATCCACTGTTTTGTTGTCATATCCAAAAAGAATATGGAAGTAAATCTATACAGAAAACCTGGAGTGGCACCCTGAAAGCCGTTGGCTGTCAACACAGACAACCTTTAAGCAACTCCTTCAGTCAAGCCAAATGTAGTGCCACGTATTCCTTTTGATTTTGTCGGTATGATCGTGAGGGATATCATGTAGCCTGGACAGTGCACGGCCTCCATATACACTGTAGATTCACCACCAAAGTAGTGAATTTTGACCAAACAGGCAGCTACCTTTATCTCGCTGGACAAACGGTTGCCCACAACAAAAAAGACAAAAAATGTTCGACTATTTTTTTCTAATTCTGCCGGTCCACTGATATTTATTTATAGATCAATAATATAAAAATTAATATAAGGTCAATTAATATAGAATCAAAAACAAACATGTGCACAAGTGAAATTAATATGTAGTCTGGTCAAGTATTTATTATATAAAAGATTAATTGGATTTTTCTCTTCTTTTTCAGGGTAACCGTCCAACAGTTGTTGTAGCAACGTCCGGTACGACTGTCCTTGGAGCATTTGATCCAATCAGTGATATTGCTGATATATGTCAAATGTACAATATCTGGTTACACGTTGATGTAAGTAATTTCTCCCACATCCTCAATACTCGTCCATCACACTTTTGTGCTATTTTCTCTTTCGCGTGATTTCAATTCTATTTCTCCCAATACTTCTCGATTCTCCCTTTCTCTTGTTCAGTCTCTCTCTTTCTCTCTCGCTCTCTTGTCCTCGATTCTCACTTTCCTTATTTCTATCTTGTTCACTATCTCTTGTTCTCTCTTCTTGTTCTCTCTTCTTGTTCTCTCTCTCTTCTTGTTCTCTCTCTCTTCTTGTTCTCTCTCTCTCTCTTCTTGTTCTCTCTCTCTCTCTTCTTGTTCTCTCTCTCTCTCTCTCTCTCTTTCTCTCTTGTTCTCGAATCTCTTGTTCTCTCTTTTTCTGCTTTCTGTCCTCGATTCTCTCTTTCTCTCTCTTGTTCTTTCTCGCTTTCTCTGTTCTCGGTTCTCTCTGTTCTCAACTCTGTGTTTCTCTCTTGTTCTTAACTCAGTCTCTCTCTCTCTCTATCTATCTATCTATCTATCTATCTATCTCATGATATCGGTTCAGTCTTTCTCTCTTTTCTGTTCCCTGATCTTTCTATTTCTCTCTCTCTCTGTGTTCTTCCTCTTTGTCTCTCTCTGTTTTCTCTCTCTCTCTCCGTTCTCACCCCTCTCTCTTTCTCGTTACGGTATTCTCTGTTCTCTCTATCTCTCTTTCACTCACTCTTTGTTCTCAGTTCTCTCTCTCTCTCTTGTTTTCTCTATTTGTTATTCTTTCTCCTTTTTTTCTCTTTCACTTTCTCTATGTTGTTCTATTTTCTCACTCTCTCTCTTTTCTTTGCGCTCTCTATCTTTCCTCTCTTTGTTGTCTCTCTCACTGTTGTTTTCTCTCTCTGTGTCTCTGTTTTCTCTTTTACTCTCACTCTCTCTCTCTCTCACTCTTTCACTCTCTCTCTCTCTCTCTCTCCTTGCTATTTTCTGTTCTCTCTTCTCCTATTCTCTGTATCACTAGGTTTTTCTTTCTGTTTTTTGTTCGATTTTCTTTTTCTCTGTTCTTCTCGGTTCTTTCTAAACCTCCTCTCTCTCTCTCTCTCTCTCTCTCTTCCTCTCTACCTCTCTCTTTCTCTCGCAATAAATAATGACTTTGGTTAATCTTTTATTTCATTTACATACCAGAAAGAACTGTATTACAAGATTGTTTTATAAATACTTGGCCTACCCAAAGTTTATTTTACCGTTTTGAATATTCCAAATTCCGTTCTGTAACTAGTGCATTTTTCGAAAGCTAAAATTGCCACTGAAATGCTATGAACATATTTAAGCACAAAGCAATGAAGAAGATAATGGTGATCTTTATAGAATATTTTCAAATTACAGTATTTCAAAATAAAATTGTCCGTGTTTTTTAAGTTTACTTCTAGAGGCCATAGCCCAAAATATCATACCATTTTGGAATCAGGCCGACTCTGTGAGCAAATTAAAAACATTCCAGACCGGATCCGGATTCGCACTCATTGAAATTTTGGATTCCCAGGTTTTCATTATTGCGATTCTTTTCGGCGAATTTTTTACGTGATTTTTTGCGACGAAATTTTTTGTAGGATAACAATTTTTATGTCCTGGAAATAAATTTTGGAGTAATCGAAATTAATTGCGAAATCCAGCGAAAGTCACTCATGAAATAAAAATAATTGAGGATCGAACTCACTAATTAGACGTAACTGTTGTAGCGAGACAAACTTGCTAACCAATGCACAGCCTCCAGGTGCCCAAAATGATTTTCTAAACGCAGCTTAGATATGGCACAAGGCCGAAAGCATGGTGCACCCAGTGAGGATTGAACTCACTACACACACACATATATATATATATATATTAAAGAAAAACAGACCACTTTAAGGCTCCATTGTAATAGTTTATTTCACTAGAGACCTTTAAATTCTTCCTGGATTTTTTTTAAACGTTTAAAAAAAAATCCACGAAGAAATTAAGGTCTCTGGTGAAATAAACTATTACAATGGAGCCTTAAAGTGGTCTGTTTTTCTTTAAATTATTAGCTCTGAATTTACATTGAGCTCTCAGGATTTAATCCTCCTTGGGACTATCCATACCGATTACCAAGTTTTTCGTAACTTATATATATATATATATATATATATATGTGTGTGTGTTGAATATCGGTTGAGGAATACCTTTGACCTCACTTTCGCTGTATCAGAGAGTGAGCGAAAATCGGAATGGCTGATAGCATAAACAGGAAATGCATCCGGTGGCCAAATAGACATGACGAATAGGTGTCCTGAGCAGAAGGAAATGCGTGCTTTCTTCCTGAAATAACTACGTATATTCACCCTGCTTTAATTCCTTATTTTCTGTTTCTTTATCTTCCAGGCTGCCTGGGGTGGTTCTGTGCTATTTTCTGAAAAGCATCGTCACAAAATGTCAGGAATTGAAAGGTGAATATTTTTTCTTATTCCATTGCTGCAAACAACCTTATCTCTTCCAATAACCTCCCTTCCAAAAAATAAGAGTTAAAACAAAATGTCAGTTTTCTTAAATGAGAATTGCTTTGAAATAATTCAAGTGAAACTGCCATAGTGCAATGACAAACCATTATTAACGAGCGCTATAAATTGGGGACTCCAATATCTGATTATATGTCTGTTATGGTCCGGTTCCTTGCACCACGGTGATAGTCCAAGGTAGAACCAATAAAGAAGAACTCGAACACGTATATGGAATAACACAGATATATTACAAACAGGAATATATACAGAAAAGTAAAAAGTGTTAGTACGAACAATCAGCTTTAGTAGTAATTGTCTGAACACGACTCTGTTTCGGACTGCCTCTGACTCGACTGACTGACTCGCTCACTCTGACTGACTGACAGACTCCTGACGGACCTCACTCCAGACTTCAGACTGAACTCCCTGCTTCCTCTTGAGGCGCAGTATTTATTACGTATGGAATAGTCCATTATGGGTAAGGTCCCATAACAATGTCAAAGTTAATCTAACAAACATTTCCATTAATTATATCCATATAAATGATAATGCATACTGTCATCTGCGTATCTTATGATTGTGCCGGTCAATACTAATCCTGACAGCACCCCTAGTTCTCTTAAAATCATCCTTGTCTTATTCCCCTTTCTGCTTTTGCTTAATTCGTTTCTTATCCGTTTCATGTGGTTTGCTCCCAGTATATATGTTGTAGATTATTCTAATCTCTTTCCCTAATAAATCAAGTTTTCCCTGCAGTTCAAGATTTTTTGATCGTATCCTATCAGATGCATTTGCGATCTAATTCTGCTACGTGCTAAAGACAACTCAGTCTTTTTTTTTTCTTATGAAATACTTCATAACGTTTTTTTTTTTTTATCAATTCACTCCAAGCAAGGTGATAAGGCCACTAAGATGCAAGGGGTAATTGGGAGTGAAAGACAATGAAAAAGACTTTAGTAGAAACCCGAAACCCAATCCTAAACCGGAAACAACGGATAAATCTCTACACCTGTTCAAAGGACCGGGGAAGTGTATGAACCGGACGATAGGCGAACCTAACTCCCGAGCGAAATTAACTCCAGAAAAAAGTTTAAAAAAAATAATCTGTGCCTGCCTGCTTCATTAATGAAATTCCGGTTGAATGGTTGACGTGGAAGACTTGAAGTATGTTTAATGTTTATCCACTGAAGCCATTTCAACTATAGAGTAACCTACTTAATAAGCTTGTACACATGGGTAGCAGAACAAGAACCTGAAAAAGTAGGAGTAAGGAGACAAATATTGCTTAGAGTTAACAGGGCGATAAAACATTGTGGAAAGGTATGAATATCCTAAAGATGCTCAACTGTTTAACCTCAATTATTTTTCTATCATACAGTAAGATTTTAAAATATCCTGCAAGTCTGTCTTTTATCTTTCTGCAGTTTCAAATGAAAGTCATACTTTTTTTACAATTATCGCAGTTTAGTATGTGCAGACAACGGTTCGGGACAATAGATCGGCGAGACAAGTTCGAATTTCATTAGAGTTTGTCACACTTGACTTTGCTAAAAAAAGATAAAAGTTTCAATGGGGCGCCCCTTAAATCTATATAAAAGCATTTGTTTATCTCCCTACTCTCTTTTACAGCTTTTCAATTCTGTCTATAATATGTAGTCGCAAGTGAGGAAAAAAAATGGTCCCCCCACTGGGGCACGTTCGTTTACATGGTGTTTTGTCTTGACTTTTTGTACTATCTCACACACGCTTGTTACACGCACGCACACCATAACACATACACACAAACACACGCACACGCAAATAAGCATATTCTTACTATAGCCAGTTTCATGATATTTTCTGTTGTGGATTCCGGGATGAAATCCGGTCTCAAATGAATGACAAACGCAGGAATGAAATATAGCAAATAAATGTATTGACGCAATAATACAATTGGTAATACGGTTAGTAGATCCAGAAATGCAGTTAGTAGGAATAATAATATATATATACAGTCTGAGAAATTCAGTATCAAAGTATGACTTCCTTCTGAGTCTGCGTGCTCGCAACTGTGACTCCTACAAAGCGGTTACCTCACTCTCTCACTTTCTCACTTCCGGGTATTCACCAGCAGCAGTACAAGTACACACTGAGCGAGTCCACTTGTATAAAAAGGGGTGGACCCCTTAACATTTTCCTTTCGTCACATGTAATTCCTTTTGTAAATACTTGCAATTAGTTGTCGTTTGTTATATATTGTTTTATGGTAACATTTTTTACATGGACTCACATTGGAGTCCGTCAATATTGTTTATGGGATAAATTTTCCAGTAGCCCGTAAATATTTACTTTCAAAAGTGTTGATTCCCACAACATCATGGTAACTAAATATTTACCCAAACATACCAGAAATTCCACAACAAAATGGTGACCCCCAACGTGATATCTTCCCCTGGATACAAAAACAACAAAACTATATAAAACAAATGACAACTAATTGCATGTATTTACAAAAGGAATTACGCATTCACTTTTTCACAAATTCCCTTGGAAAAGGTATGAATTCATATCTTCTCACTAACCAACAGACTAAACTCTCTAACCAATCCAGGAGAAGGAAAACTCTGAATTCAAAATAGTATATGGTCCTGGCAACACAAATACTATATACCGACATGGAAAGACTATGGCGTTTAAAATTAACTGGTGTGCTTGGTTGTGCTGATCTCGAGTACGGTTAATTAAGTCGGTAGGCTGGACAGTAGCCAATAAAATATTATGCATAGTTATTTGCTGGATAGGAGGCACGGTGGCGTAATGGATAGAAACTCGGATTGAGGAATTGGAGAGCCGAGTTCGAATTCCAGTCGAATCCATTACATTCACTTATGTTCTAATGCCCTTGGGAAATGTATGGATCCTCCTGTTCTCTACCCAGCTATAAATAGCAGGTCAAACCTGATGGCAACTGGTTTACCAGAAATGGTGGGGAAAAAATCTACCTCGTCAGTCATATATCGAAAGATACACGATCGCCTAACAGTGTGTCATGAATGGTACATGACTGACTGACTGATTTGGTGGGTACCTGGAAAGATTTAGAAAATTTTCCCATATAAATTTAATGGTACCTGCTTTTTTGGCTTCGGCTTATGAAAACTCTACTTTCAAATAGGGGGTTAGAAAAAGATGTACATATTTATAGTTTGCTGAAAATTTCGTAATCTTTACCTACTTCTCAATATCTCACCAAATGACCAAACAGAATTATTTCTTTTTTTTTTTTTTTTTTTTTGGTTGTACTCAGAACTTTTCAGTACACGCTCATATAATAAAGCCAGCATAGAAAAAATATCTATTTTCTTCATGTGACAAGTTTAATTGATTCAATTGTCAGCTTAAAGACCTCCGCTGGCTGCTAGATTTGCAAGTAAATAAAACAAGTAAATAAAACACTGAGAGCAATTTGGTCACATGTGGTCGGGAAAATTACTTAGAAGTACTTGCATTCGTACGAATTATGTATCAGCTGCATGAATATGTTTGACTTCAACTACTCTTGGTTTTCATATGACATAATTGATGTACAGGTAGTGTGTACATTGTCATTAAATCTGCTTTCTCTCTTAGTGAGATATGAGAATATATTTGAGTGTTTGCATGACGCGTTTCATCCTTTAAGACTTAGTTTATGTTTACTTTGATGCGACTACACATGCGCATGAACGAGAGACGCTGGGAATTTTAAATTTAATTAGTATTTTTTTTTATTTTAATATGTTTTTTGGTTATATAATTTAGCCGATTTCATTTATATTCTTGATTGGAAAAGTTTCCCTCAGACTCATTGAAAGGATTTCTGGTAACCCATGCCTTAAAGAAATACAAAAAAATTGTACTCACAAGAAGTACAGCTCACACATTACGAAAAGCTTTATCTATGTAAATTATGTGTGATCTTGGATTTTTATTTTACAAAAAAATGATCACTGGAAGATGTCATGAAGCCAGAAAGAAGTGTATATACACCAGAAACCAAAGGAAATAAAATAATAATAATAATAATGTGCTTGGTATAACTTTATCACACTGAGTGATATGATGAGTATATTGAACTCCTTATATTTTTCCCAGTGTTACTTCCTTGTTCCCTTACTCAATAATAATAATAATAATAAAAAAAGAAGAAAATTACAAAATCAAAACCACTGAGTGATGATATGAACACCAACCAGACACATTTACCCAAAATAACGATGTTACTATCCTTTGCATATGACAATTCAAACTGACAGGGAAATAAAAGCCAACAAACCTGATATTATCATAAAAAAGAAATTGAAGAAGTGTATGCTTACTGACATAGCAGTAACAGCTGAGATAAACACCCCATAAAAAAATCACTTACTTTATTAGTATAAATTGTCATTGAGTTGCTAAAAGAGCATAAGTGTTTGTTTGTTTTGTTTTCTGTTTTCTTTGGGGGGGGGATGAGTGAAAAAATTCTAAAAAGGTCGAAATCAATATATGCACTTTTTGATTTTTTTTAAAATTAGAGGCTAACTTCACAAACATAAATTTATCCGAATACTGTCTGTGTTATTCTCATAGAGATCTCTTTGCTTATTTCCGAAATGAAAAACGTACAAAAGGACATCTGCTCTCCTTTTTGATTGATTAATTCCTGAAGCTTTTCATTGAGTGCTGCTTTTAATTGATTCAACTGGAAACAGTTGAGTATGACGATAAACTACATCACACAACATGGATATTTGAAGTGCGTGGAATCACCTCTTAAACTGCTGTTGTTTCCAGGTCGATCCTGACCCAGGATGGTAAAATTTGTTATGGTCCCAGATATGAGTAAATAGTTAACCCCCCAAACAAAAACAAATCGCTATGGAAGTATAAAAATAATTTTTAAAGTAAAAATTACCAATAATACTTATTTATAAAAACAAAAAGTTGGCAATAAGACATTTTATAGCAAAATGGCCAGCAACACGTTTTATCTGCAGCTGAAGGCATACAATTGCGTTCTAAATATATTTAGTTGAGGCCATAAAGTTGTGTTCAAAATATTTATAATTTGGCATTAAATAAGCCATAGAGGTGTTGATATGCCGCTATACAAAATCAACCAATCAATTGGGAGCAGTATTTTTCTGAATTCAGTGTATGATTTTGCAGGAGTTCATAATATACGATGTCTAAGTGAATACGCAACATTACCCTCGTTAAATGCAGACATATTTTTCATTCTTCCTCAGGAACTTTTTTGTTCCACATTGTTGTAAACTATTCATTTTTCATCGTTTCTTTAAAAAAATACAATTGGCCAAGTTGAACAGTTTTTTTTTCCTCTGAAGATTTGACTCACACTGAATATAATAGTTACAACTGCTTTTTTAAAATGTCAGGTAAGAACATAAAACTGTTGCAAAAATAATAAATAACTTCACGATAATCAAGTTTTAAATTTTATACTTATTTTATGATCATGCACAGAGGTTTTTTTTTGTTTGTTTGTTTTTTGGGGGTTTTTTTTTTTTGCTCAAACAACCTTTTTCACTAATAATTAAATCTCTCAGTCAAAATAAAAACTTCATTTTATTTACCAATTTATAATCAAATCTCAGTGTCGTCGAGTGGTCGGTGACTAAACCAGACCCAAACCAGTGAGAATTGTAAGTGAAACAAAAATATCAAGAACACAAAAATCAAGAGCTGTTAAAGGGCGGATGAACTCCTCAGAGTAAACAGACATCCACCCTAACCATGTGTTAACTAGCCTCATCAACCCGCTCTTAGCCAAGCATGGTGAGTACGGCTACATCCCTGAAGGCACGTTCAATTAGGGAAAACTCTTCTAGAAGTTTGGATTTGGAATTTAACCTTAGATGGGCAGATAACTAATGGCTTTCAACAGAAATTCAAATGACACGTGGCTAGCAAATGGAGACGCAGCTGACTTGTGGTACAGTACAAAAAAGATAGGCAATGCTAAAATTAAAGCTAAGACAGCATGTGTCCATTTTGTATTAATGTTTTTGGGGAAGGCATGAACCTGTCTCTTCCCTTCCCATCTCCAGCTTTTGGTTAAAGTGTAAGACAGATGTCTGACCTTGGTTTACGACCAGTTTTCGAAAGACAACCCAGAATTCAGAACCAGAAAGAAAACAATAGGAAACTACTCTCCTTTCCCAAGAGCAGTCATGGTAATGCACAGTTTTACAGATATTAAAGAAAAGGATGTTGTAGAGAGCCATGATTGCTTTATTTCTGAAGAGAGTGGAATCTAAATTTTTCGTCAGTGTTGTATATATCACTCTTTTTAATTTGACAAAGATTGTAAAACATTTTACAAACTCCTACCTTAATAATAATAATCGTAAGTCTGATCGGTTCAATAAGGTCGAATTGGCAGCTGATCTCAAAAGTGACATAAAATCTGTTGTTTAATGCCCCTCCAAACCAAACTTCTTTCTATTAATCATTTGAGGGATCATTTTCTGCATTCTATCAGTATGGCTGATGCTAACCTCCAGGAGAACGACTCGTTGCACCTTGTCAGACTAACGTTCTCTGCTGACATGAAGTGGCTAGATTATATTGAATCAATTTCTGCTAGGCAATTTTTCTCTCCAGAATCTATCTTACATATTTATAAGTCTACCATTCATCCATGCTTCGAATATTATTGCCACATGTGGTCTAGTTCTCCTACTATATATTTAGAGATTCTTGATAAAATCCAAAGAAGAATCTGCAATGTTATTGGTCCTGACCTAGCATTCTGGATTCGGTCACTTTCCCTGTAACTTTTCTATAAGTACTTTCATGGTAACTGTTCTTTTCTCTATAGTACTTAGACCTTATGAATTTAAACACAATACTAGGTTGGCGGCAATATGTCATCATTTTACAGTTGAAATGGTTAGATGTAACCATAAGTCCTATGCTAACAGTTTCTTTTCTCGTACTTCTTGCTTATGAAAATCTCTTCCGGGTTCTTGCTTTCCAGTCAAGTTTGATTTTCAATAATTTAAATCCAATGTCAAACGTTATCTACTGTCTTCTTGATTCCTCTTCTTTTATTCTTTTTTCTACTTTTCTCTTTCTATTTTTCTTATTCTTTCACACTCAGTAACCCCCTTGTGACTTAGTGTCTTTACTGACTTTCTTGGGGTGAATTGACTTAAAAACTGTTATTTCTAAAATGTCACAAGTTTATAACGTAAAATAGTTTTATGTAAACTTTGAGTAACTTTAATTCTATATCTCACACGTCTAGAGTTTTATGAGCAGTTTAAATTCTTAGTTGATTTCAACAAAATATATTCAGCTTAAGAATGAATTTGTAACCTGGTATTTAGCTTACTTCATTGTATTAAAAAAGAAAAATAATTTATTTCAAAATTCTTTTTGCTCCAGATTGGTAATCTATATATATAGCCTTTGTTTTCATTTAAACAAAAAGGAATTATTCACAAAAAACAAAATTTCTTTCGTGGATCATATTAAAAAGCAATCCTCAAGTCAAGTGGATTGAGTAGCTTGATACAGACAGACATGTCTGAACTTGGATCACCAATAATGACCTCCAGATACAATAAAATGAAATATTTGCTCGTTCTATTCAATATTTTTCAAAATATGTCATATCACAGTAAAAGTGTTTGATCAAGGTAGCACACCCCAAACTGGAGCGTGTACGTTATCATACATGCAGAAGGCACATTGTAACCCTCTCTTTATTTATCTGATTTTCTTTCTTTTATCCTTTTTTATTGTTGAAACATTAATCGATATATTTTTTTTTTTTCAGGGCTGATTCCATGGTTTGGAACTTTCACAAAATGTCCAATGCTCCAATGCAATGCAGTTTCCTTGGGGTCAAAGAAAAGGTAAGACATAGACCATAATTACCAAATTCATTTAAGCACTGTAACAACCCATCATCATCAACAAAAACAAAACTGTTACCCTCGTACAACCATTCATCACAAACTTGATGAAGTCCGAACAACAAGTTGAAACATCATATTTAACAAATTACCAAAAACAAAATGATTTATATTTGTACTATTGTCCTCCGCTTTGTTTAACTGTTGTGCTCTCTGGTCTTCTTCAGCCACTTGTAGATCTATCTAAGCATCAGGGCATTTGAAACGGAACTATTAAAGAATTTTAAATATTTTTACCAAGATTTACTAATAAAAAAATTAATCTATGGAGGTAGATTGTTCTCATTTCGCAGTCCATGTCTAAAGATATCTCTTATTATTATTATTATGATTATTATTATCATTGCTCACTATTTCTACTGAATTTAAGTTTGCATTACATGACACAGGCATCGACTTCACATGTCACTAAAATTCATAAGCCGACGATTTAATCCACTAGGCTATTGTACCGTGGAACAATCTTGAATCTAGCACTTGGAGCCTTAAATCGTATGTTCCGTTATCCTTTCCGCTGCTGACATCCTTGACTACATTCACGGAAGTTCCTCTTCTACTGCTGCTGCCATTGAGCCTTACTGTCATTTCTCAATCTTTCATGCAGCAGAAGAAGTCTGTAGAGCGCGAATGTTGCGATAATAACTACAAAGATTAGGACAATAGTTCAAATGTAATTAATGTAAATAATAATAACTCCCCATTCCAAATATTCAAACAGAAAATTAGACTTGTTTTCCAAAATCTTAAAATGTCTGATTTTGTAGGTGGCAAACAAAAATCAAGCGGCGATTCTCTCACCCAAAACTATCTTGCACAAAGTGGTCAGGATTACACTTTGATCCTTGAATCATTGGCTGAAAGAACTGGACATTTTAGGCGAGAAATATACTTCTAACATCTCCACATAAACTCTGAAATTTTATTTATTTATCTATTTTAGCTACCTCCATTCATTCGGTATACGTAAGGTTTAAAATTAATTTTTAAAAATGAAAAATCTTTCTTGAAGCATTTATTTTAGTTTCAATTGAAAGCTTACGCATGTCTCGCGAACTCAATTCGATCGATTTTTTTATTTTTAATTTGAATTTATAACGGGTACAATCTAGCTTAGTCACTGTTTCATTTATTTCCCAAGAGTGATCAAGGATTGCAGAAGATTTCCGAAATATATCTGTTTTAGCAATAAATTATCCGTTGGAATTACAAAATTCTGTTTTTAACTAATATAGTCACAAAAATTACCTAGTTAATTTTCTCGAGTTTTCATAAAATTAAGTAAGGGGCTGAAACACATGTAAACATAAAATATTTTTACCAAGATTTTCTAATAAAACGATTAAAAAGTAATCTAATTTATTTGTGAATAAGTCCTGAAAATTTCGTTCAAATCCGACAATTATTTGGTTTTTGCAAAAATGTTACAGTTAATGTGTCTGTTGTCGTTCATTATGACGGTCGTCTTTGAGTATAGAATCCAGAGGTTAGCAGTGAATATTTCGAAGACAGTAGGAAAGCGTTGTTCAGGTTAGCAGTAGATATCCCAGTAAAGTAGCAGAGCGTAGTTCTTCCTTCTGTTCCTCTTCGCCTGACAAGCTGGCACTGGACATTCGGATAGAGTAAACAAAATGGCCGCCTTTATACACGACGGATTGAATATTCTACGTCTTCTGATCGGTTAACCTTCTATTGGTGGACTATAAAGTGAGTCAAGTCATTTGGGCTAGCTCACTAGTAAATAATATACACAAAAAACTGCAACATCTGTCACTGCAAAAAAAGAGATCAAAATTTGCTATGCGAAAAGCTAGTACACCTGCTGACGTAAGAAATCAATTTTTTTAATTAAAATTTTGAATATTCTGAAAAGGAGTAAAAAATTTAATTAAATAATCAAAAAATACTTTAATCCTTCCGCTTGATAAGAATTATGTTTCCATTATGTTTTAAGCATGTTTCCTTCATAGTATGCTGATTTTTAGCGTTTTCATGGAGATACCTAATTTATTTTATTTTACCATTTTTTTTATTTTATAGAGTAGAAGTAGATAGGTTCACCTATCAGCTGGTTTGAATTGCAGTAGAGATTTATCCCTTGTTTCCTCTTTAGGATTGGATATCCAGTTCCTTATAAAGTCTTTTTCTTCTCTTTCACTTCCAGTAGCCTTTTGCATCTTAGTGGCATTATTACCTTGCTTAGAGTGAATTGATAAAAAAAAGTACCAAGTATTGAGTAATATGCTTTCTCGGGTGGATATTACGAAAAATGACCATATGCTTGAATGCCAAATAAATACTACCACAATAAATTATTGTTGTTTCATTTTTGAAAATGAAATTCAATGTTTCCTTATTCCCTCTGATTTTGACCTCCTTCAAAAGGGAGCTGTGTATTCCATTATTGCTCTCTATATAAATGGTTTGTTAAAAAAGGAGGATGAAGATTCTCGTCTAAATAATTCAGAGAATTATACTTTTCATAAAACCTTTGAATAATCCTAAGAACGTTTCATTGATTTGTTTGATTTTTTATGATTTATCAACTTTTGTGGCGAAACATATATATAGATATATATATATATATATAATGTAATCTATTTAAACTCGGTGGGTGAAAAAACATGGATAGCACAATTTTCAAATAAATTAGCATCCGAGGAAATATGGGAAGAAAAGAAAGAACCAGAAACCTCCGAACAGGGCGAAAGAAATCGTCTAGTACCTTAACTCTCTGGTACAAAGAAAAAATGCCCAGCGAGTAATAGTGATTTTCCAAGCGTAGCTTAGATGCGACACAAGGCCGAAAGTATGGGGCACCCAGTGAGGACCGAACTCACTACTCAGTCGTAATTGTTTTAGCCGAGATAAGCTTGCTAACCATTACACCATCTCGAAGCGGCCAAAGCCCAGCAAGTAATAAGTTAAAAAAGAAGAGTGAGTTGCTCAATACACTCAGTAGAAACAAAAAATTTTGTTTAATAAAATTTTGTTTTTGTTTTTGGTCACGTGTTTTATGCCTTTTTAAGCTTATGCTAATTTTAGGTTTTAGTAGTAATTCTATCAATGATGATCCCAGGTGGTGAATATATACTACCTGGTATATATATTGTATATATATTATATATATATTATATTATATTTATATTATATATATTATATATATATATATATATATATATATATATATATATATATATATTATATATATATATATATATAATATATATATATATATATATATATATATATATATATATATATATATATATATATATATATATATATATATATATATATATATATATATATATATATATATATATATATATATATATATATATATATATATATATATATATATATATATATATATATATATATATATATATATATATATATATATATATATATATATATATATATATATATATATATATATATATATATATATATATATATATATATATATATATATATATTATATATATATATATATATATATATATATATATATATATATATATATATATATATATATATATATATATGTATATATATATATATATGTATATGTGTGGAGGGATGGAGTAATATATAGCAGCTCAGAGTGAAGAATCTGAGAGCTGAGTTTGAATTCCAGTCAGGTTCATTACATTCACTTATGTGCAAATACCATTGGGAAAGATATGAATCCATCTCTTCTCCTTCTACACACAGCTGTGGGTAAATATACTAGGTCCTATAACCAAAGGTGACAAACGTTCTAGGAGAAGAGCAACTCTGAATTCAAAACCTCCAACTATGGGTTAAATAACTTCACCAAGCTACAATTGGATAAGCATGATTACGGTTACACCCCTGAAGATATGGTCAATCAGGGAGGGGTTCCTCCAATATGAGTGAGATGGTCCTGGATTAGGATTAGGACTTGTGTTTAGCTAGCCTGCTAGAAATAGTTATTTTAATCTTTGCATATTTGTTCCTCTTTCAGGGCCTCCTTGAAAGGTGCAATTCAACTCAAGTTGAATACCTGTTTCAAGCCGATAAATACTATGACAGAAATTTTGACCAAGGTAAATTGATTGTAATTTCTTACAATTTCTATCTCTCTATATATATATTTATTATAATTTTTAAATAAAGATGATGACAATAGTTCAAACAATGTAAATAGCATAAATAGTTACAATATCTCATCTTAGAAACATAGACAGAATGTTACAGGAAGTTATTGTTCATAAATTTATACCAGCATGCCTCAATGACTGCATACGTATATCATTTCCTTTAATTATTAAAAGTAAATGATTTATTTTTAAACAATTTTAATCACTGTTAAGTGTTTATTATATACGAATCTCTGCAGGCAACAAAACCATCCAATGCGGAAAGAAGATTGATAATTTCAAACTCTGGATGATGTGGAAGGCAAGAGGAGACCATGGAATGAAACAAAAAGTTGAAAGAATGATGGATCTTAGTCAGTAAGTGATTGTTTTTCGTTTCCTTTCTTTTTCTTTAAGTATTTTACCAAGGATCTATGCAGAGGGGATTATCTGTAATCTGCCTTAATATCAAGTATTGGTACAGCGCATAAGAAAAAATAGGTATAGGAAATCGTGTAAAGTCATCTTTATTTTCATTATTTAGATTGTCTTCTTCCTTGTTGTTACTATCACAATGCTTCATGTATCCTCTGACCTTCTTCATGTGTAGCGGTTTAGGCGTGTGATAAGAACGGCTCTACAAATTTAGTTAAATTTTTAATATTGAGTATTAGTTTTCTTTCAAATTGAAAAATGAATTACAAAGATTCTTTCCGAAACAACTTCATACAAAAATATTTTTTGTCTTTCTTTATAATAAAACCGAATCAACTACGTCAGTATGATAAAAAAAAATAGAATGCTTCTACATGTGAGAATGTTTGTGTTACGTATTTACATAATTTTATGTGTGCGTGTAATTTTCTAATAGCAGCCTGTCAGCAGTCAGTAAATGGTAGTTGCATGTTATTAATGAAGCTACCATTTACTGACTGTAAAAATCTCTGTTGGCATTAACTCGGTTCGTGTGTTTTTTTATGATTCTTAACTCAACAACGCTAAGCCTTTTTTGTAATATAGTATAATCGAATAAATATGTGAAAATGTGAGCAATTAAGTTTTGAGAATTTCAGCGTGTATAACAACGAATGAACAACCCAGGTAAAAGGCTTACAGAATAACTGAAAAAACTAATTTCTTCGAACTAATACGATCGCTTTTGTAACCGAGAAATCGGCTCCGAAAAGACTAAAAGCTAAATTTTATTAAAATCATGTTTATTGGTTAGTAAATATTTTTTTTCAATTTTTAAATATCTAATTTTAGGAGGGAAATATTATTGATTATTTTCTGGAGTTGGCCAGTTCAAAATTTCGTAGCAGAGAACATATATTAATTGTCTGAAAATTCAAATTTGAGATAACGTCAGCGATTGGTTAATTAATACGAATATAGAAATTCAAATCTGGAGCCTACAATATGCACAAAAATGAGTCACTTTTTTGCAAAAAAATGAGTTTCCAGTCACTACTTAAATCTTTTGCATCTTTCTGCAATTCTTTAACGGAGTCCCACGAACGAGTTGTGACAGTAAGGCTTCAGCGGCAGCAGCAAGACAAGAGAATCTGCGGCAGCAGTAGGCAGGATAGTAGGTTTAAGCCACAAAATTCTAGCTTAAAAAATCTCCTACGGAACAATTGCCTAGTAGATTAAAGTATTGGCTCATGAATTTGGTGACATAGTATTTGTGAGTTCAATCCCTGGGCTGGGTAGTACAGACTTAGCAGAAACCGGACGAGGAATAATAATAACAAGTAAATATAACTGTTGATATGAACAGCAAAACGAGAACAATCTATATACATAGATTAAATGAAGGGTTCATTACTGATTGAATCTCTAGGATTATCATTATTTATATTATTTACATTCAAACTAACCTCCTCATCACTATTGTTATTATCAGATTTCAGCTGTGCTCTCTGGCCTTCTTCAGGAGTCTGCCAATCAAGATAACCTTCAAGAAATTTCAAACGGAACCCTTTATTTAATCTACAGGAGTAGCTTGTTCTCCTTTCCCTGTCTATATCTAACAATATCTTATTAGTTATTGCTCACCCTATTTCCACTGAGCCTAATTCTGTATTACATAGCTGTTATACTTGAACACACCTATTCTATAGTTAATAGACTCTCCCACATATAATAAGTAGTAGTAGTACCAGCCGCGAAGTCGCTCAGTGAGTTGTTCAGTCAGTCGATGTCGGACACTAAGAGTATCAGCGACCGCCACTAGATTTCTCTGCGTCATTACCTATTATATCAAGTTCCTAACGTTTTGTACACCGAACCTTTTTAGGACCGACTTAGTGAAATACAAGCCTCCACTGTGAAAACACTCTACAACAATAGCCCAGAGATTGAACCCACAATTACTATGTCGCCAAATTTTCAAACCAATACTTTGATCCACTTGGCTATTGTCCATTAACAGTAATTGTGAGTTCAATCTTTGGGGCTGTTAGTACAGGCTCAGACTCAGTGGAGACAGGGCGAGAAATAACCGAACAGTACAAAAGAAGTAATTGTGAGTTTAATCCGTGAACCTGGTAGTAGAGTAGGAAAAAGCCAACCAATAAGTAACCAATGCTAAAAGAAACATGAAGAAATACCGATAGATATTTTAATCACCCTTCACCAAGCAAAGCAATAAAACCACTAAGACGCATAGAGACTACTGTGTAAGAGGATATGAGAAAATACTATTGGGGAGAGAGAACAATAAATGAACAAAAAATTAAGAAAACAAAAGATAACGCTTGACATTGCATTAAGATCAAAGTTGACGGGGAAGCAACAACCCGGAAAAGAGCTCCCCATCGAGAAGCGTGATAGAAGAAACTGTTAGCATAGAACTTACGGTTGCATCTAGCAGCCATTTCAACTGTAAACTTACGAGAACTTGCCGCTTAAATTACTGCGCTTAAATTCATAACGTCTGGGTACCATAGAGGGTGGTTCATTTAAACAATAAACAGAGGAATGGGAACAATCTAAGTAGATTAAATAAAGGGTTCATTTTGAAATTCCATTCAGGTTAGACAAATCGACTGACATTCGCCTGAAAAGGGCTATCATGCTGTGATAATAAAAAAAAATTGACGGGGGCAGTATTCGAAATATGAACAATGATAGCTTTTCATCCCAGAAATTCATATATGTACTTTCTTTGTCTACCATTTTCCTGACTCGTCTTTGATTATTAGTTTTATGTGTCTTGTCTTTTTCAGTTATCTTATGGAAAAAATACAGGAGCAAGACGATTACAGACTTGTTCTACCAGAGGTGAGTTTTAATGTTTTTATTTTTTTTCCTAAGTCCCGTGAAAGTGACTTGACCTCTATCCTAGCCCATCGTGCATTGATGATTTGTTCTCCTTGTTCACTTAACGAGGAACTTGAGAAAATTCGTTGTATTTTTATTAATAATGGTTTTCCAATCAACATCATCAAACGTACTACTGAACTTAAAATTAAACGTTTTAAAGAAATCGGTAGTTTTTGGCCCTTCTTTATGTCCGATTTATTTAAAACCACTGATAGAAACGGTCAAATACTCGCTGACGGAGTATCAGTGTCTATTACGTATTACGACTGTAAAATTGTGTATTGATTTTGAGCCCCGTTCGGTGTTCTCTTCTTTTGTCAATGATAGTATGTCCTATTTACAAAATAATTCTCTAGTGTATAAATTTAAATGTCAATGATATGCAAAAAACATAGGGCAGACCAATAAGAAACTAGAGACCCGTATCGACCGACATGTTCCTGCTAATGCAAGAGCAGGTAATTTTAGCCTTTCTTCCAGGGCGACCAAGGGTGTGCACAATTCGGCAATCGGTCAGCACCTGTTGGACAACCCCGACTCTGCTCATAAATACAAGGGCGATGCACAAATCAATATCATCTTTTGCCTCATCCCCGTTACACCAACGTTAATTTTCTGAAAAAGTGTTGGTTTCAATAATTCTAAAGGAGAATGTCCAGGTACCTTTTTAAGTCAATATATATATATATATATTTATATATACATATATTATACATATATATATATATATATATTTAAGTTATGAAGAACTTGGTAATCCGTATGGGTAATCCCAAGGAGGATGAAATCCTGAGAGCTCAATGTAAACACAAAGCTAATAATTTAAAGAAAAACAGACCACTTTAAGGTACCATTATAATAATTTATTTCATCAGAGACCATTGAAAGGACGCCGGATCATTAGATAGCACTTCCAAAATTAAATGAGATTCGTTTCATTTCATTTTTTGAAGTGCAATCTGATGATCCGGCGTCCTTTAAAAGGGCTCTGGTGAAATAAATTATTATAATGGTACCTTAAAGTGGTCCGTTTTTCTTTAATATATATATAAATATATATATATATGTGTGTGTGTGTGTGTATTGTATTGGAGAAGAAGATCATTATTTTAACATATATCGTTAAATATAACAGACAATGAATGTCTTATATTTGATCATGAGCCGTTCTAAACTCCATATATTTGCTTTAATTTCGGGTGAAAATAAAGACAAAAACTGTACAACATTTGGATTTTTTAAGCTGGTCCTTGATCTAAGCTTTCGGCTCACATGAGCCATCTTCACAGTGATTACACGGACATTTTAACAAAGATATTCAACATCAAAGACGCTATTCTGTTATGTTTACATAGAAGATTGCTATGCGACGACAGCGGTCGCGGAATAGCAGATCCAGATCATAAGTTCAAGATGCGATTCTATGACGTCGTACAACGTAAGAGACCGAAATATTAACAACAGAACCATATGTTTAGATGCAATGGAATGTGTTGGGACTAGTTTGAAATGTATTTTTGTTGAATGTGAGTTATATATATATATATATATATATATATATATATACTCATCTATGCTTACACCTATGTTTATTTGATGATTATAGTTGATAATAACAGACAAGTTACACACATTTTATCATTATACTCTTTGCTACATAAAATAAAAATAAAAAATTTTATACCAGATACCAAACAACTGATATATAAACAACTCATATGATGGGATCATTTTGATGATCAAATACTTATTTATAAATGAAGGACTATTTCAAAATAAAGGGCAACCATAAATAATATATATGATGGACTCTCCCATCGACGTATGAGAATCCGACAACCTCATTCCGTTTTTGTTTGTGTCGTATATGACACTTCAGTCCCGCTAGTGACCTGCATACAAGTTCACATATTGTACAACAGCCATAGGAATATTTGTTGATGCTTTTCGCCATTGTCTTTCGTCTCTTAGCCGGTCAATACGATTGATTTCTAAATTTCTGGCACAAATATCTCAAGTTATTTCTATCCAGGACAACTCGCTCGAAGTTAGTATATAGGCACACTGACAGCTTACTCTTTAACTTGGCACATATGTAGGCACATTGACAGATTTCTCTTTAACTTGTATTTGTGGCTGAGCCACGGCCGTCCAACAGTCCTTTGTTCACTGTCAAGCTGGCAATACATGAGGATCTTAGGTATAGTGTCGTCACTTATCCTTGTAACATGACCAGCCAAATGAAGTTGTGACGGCATTAGGAAAGTCTCAATTCCACCAATATTGCATTTTTACGAGTTCAGCATTAGACACGAGTTGTGGTAGGATCCACCTAATTTGCATAGGGAGTACCGACCATATAAATATGGTTGGTACCGGGAAGACGGGGGGGGAATCAAGAGATTCAATCCAGAGACTCTGCCCGACTGCGACTAAGTCAACACATTCTCCAGGAACGGTCTTCCCAAGAATATACAAAAGACTATATGTAAATATTGTGTACACTTTCTTGTTTCGATACATTTTGTTCTAAGTACATTTTGTGTTGTATTATTATTCCATGCATTAGTCAAGTTTCAACAACACGCAATCGTCAAAAGTATAGCCATAGATCGCGTGGAGACAACTCTGGGGAAGACTTCCAGCTGATTGATATGAGAACTATATGATATCCACGATTCTGTGTCGTATAACAGCGTGGTCAAAATGGCTGCTCTATAAGCCCGTATTTTGGTGTCCAATTTGATACCTCTCTCATTCCATAGGCGGTGGCGAAGCTTCCGAATTGAACTTATAGCTTTGATGATCCGATTTGTTATTTCGTCATCGAGGGATGCATTTGTATTCATCTTGCTTCCTAAATATGTAAATTACTTCACATACTTCATCTTTTCCCATCAATCCGTATAGGAGTATTTGGGAATTGATGAACTTGTGGAGGGTGTCTGATACCCCGAATTTGATTTAGGCGAATAGGCTGCTGGTGGATTGCCTATGTTTTCTTTATGCTAATGGTAATATATATATATGTGTGTGTGTGTGTGTGTGGATAGATAAATAGATAGATAGATATTACCTTTCCTATTGGGAAAGGTATGAATCCTGTTCTTCTCTATGGATAAATAGCAGGACAGACTGGGTTCTATAGCCTTGGATGGCAACTGGTCTAGGAGAACAACAACTCTGAATTCAAAACCTGCGGAGGGTTGTTTGGTGACCTTGTGGCACGTAGTGCACAAGGTCTCTGTATTCGGCCCTTCAAAAAGAGTGAATGGTTCTGCACAAAACCTTCACAACTATAATTAAATCTCATGTGCTGGTGTCTGGGCTGTCGGTTTCCTAGGAACTGAACTGCTTGACCCTGATACGTCGAATTCGACGGGAGAGTCGATTATATATTATTAGCATAAGAAAACGAAATATAAAATAAAAAAGAAATATATATATAATTTCATCTCAGGCGAGCCAAAAAAGCCACTGAGATAATCAGGGGTTTAAAGAGAGTAAAAGAAAATGAGACGCCTAGTGAGGAGAAAGGGCAATAAAAGAACAGTTTTCAAGAAGACAGGAGACTGTAATTAAAGTTGCATTTAAATTTTTGAGGACCGCTTGTGTCAGGGGAGCAAAAAAAACTAAAGGAAAAAAGGGTCCCACAGGTGAGATGTACAAGAAAGGAAACTATTAGAATAGAACTTATAGTTAAATCTAGCTAAATCAACAGTAAGACAATGAAGTTTATTAGTTAAGCTGGTATAATACGCTTTAAATACATGCAGTCAAGATACCAAGGAGGAGACGTCATAAGAGAAAATACCATGAAAATATTTACAGAAAATAGAAATCAATGAGAAGCCACATCACGGCGGTGGTAAAGTGACTAAAGTCAAGTTGCCAGGTGAGGACCGATAACATTACAAACGTTTTTTTTTGGATTTTGTTGGGAGTCTTGAGATAGATAGCAGAAGCACCAGACAAGATATGGCAGTAATATTCAATGCACCGTCGTATAGTAAATTTATAAATGTGTAAGATGAATTCTAGAAAATCAAATTGTCTGGCACAACAGAGTGAACCAACTCTCCTAGCAGTAGATCTAGAAATTGATCTAATACAATTAACAATTCCGAACCATTATCCATTACATCCGCTGAACATCCAAACTTAGTAGTATTACCAGACAGTCACCTATCTAGGTACTCGACGTTGCTTAAAATCGGCGATCGCACGTGAACCTATGTTTCAACGTGATATGGCCATAAGCTCTGGAGTTTTTATATTCAAAGAAGTGTTATTATAATTTCTTTATTCTTTCTCTAACTTCTGACATAGACTTTGAAATTTTACTAGAAGTTGTATCAAAAGCTTTTCAGCAAGATTAATGTCAAAAACATTATTGGTAAGTTTTCTGTCGTTTCAAGAAAAATGATATTTGCATATTTATTATCTCTTGTGATCTTTATAAAAGACTATACATTTTCATATAAAGTAATTTATTTGATTTTTCTTTCATTTTAGTTTGAATGCACAAACATTTGTTTCTGGTACATTCCACCGAGCCTAAGAAATCAAGAAGAAAATGACGAATGGTGGCAAAAACTGTCAAAGGTTTGTAATTAAACTGTTTTTATGTATTCTGTGTTTTTTTGTTTCTTGTTTTACAGTTTATGATTTTTTTAGTTTCTAACTTACATTTGTGAGGAATTGTGTTTTAATAGTTTCTTCGTGGCAATGATTCTTTTTATTTATAGTATTAACATCAAGAGCAAAAAATGTTTATGGATATTAACAGGTCGCGATAGCTATTAGGAAGATGTGATTAAATATACTTTAATGTTGTAAAAAAACTTATTCAGTATTATTATTGTTTAGGTAATAAACATTGTAACAGCAAAAAATACCTATATTGTAGAAAAAGGAATTTTCAACAATATACACATTTTTTACGAACTTGTGGTTATTTTTTAACTTTTATCAAAAACGACATTCTTGTACATGTAGTTAGGGACAATATTATACATTAATTACTAATTTTTTTTAATCAATAACTATTTGTACTCAGTTGTTGACATAAATAGCTATCTGCTAATGTGTTAAAATTTTGGAATAATGCAATAATAAAAATTTAAATTTCATGTTTCTGATAGATGTCGCAATCTGTAAATCAAAAAGAAAAAAAAACACTAAAGCAGGTCGGTTTTTCTTCATCACTCTTTAGAGGCTGATCGAGGCCAAAAAGGGGCATGAAAAGTAACTAAAACAGGGGGAAATAATAAGGAGAAGATACCGACATATGTTAATGATATGCCTAGGAACCGACAGCCCAGACACCAGCACATATGATTTGATTATAGTGGTTAAGGCTTTGTACAGAACCAATCACATTTTTTGAAGGGCCGAATACAGACACCTAGTGTAATACGCATCAAAAGCCCAAATTAACGACCCTTCACAGGTTTTGAATTCAGAGTTGTCCTTCTCCTAGGCTAGTTGCTTTCTCTGACTATCCCACACTGTGACTGGGTTCTTACAGTATATCACCATTTTTGGTAGATTTTATATTGCCACAGTGTCGGATAGACAGGGGAAAAGAAAAAGAATGCAGATGAATTTGGCAAGATTCGAACTAAAAATATTCTTTCAAAAAATTTTGAAAATATCTCCGAGATATTTCATGAAAAATATGTGTCCTGTATCGAACCGTCATATAGAGGACACATATTTTCCATGAAATTTCTCGGCATTCACCCGGTAAATGTTAATTTTATTATTATATATTTTATTATAAACAGTTACTTAAATATTTGTATCTATAAAAACAAAGTATAAACAATAAATATATTAAAAACATTGGCGGAGTTAGTTCATTTGATAATATATATAATATATATATATATATATATATATATATATATATATATATATATATATATTTCATCTTTACAGCGAGACAATACCGAGAGAATAAGAATTAGAAGCCCAAGCAGGATACATTATTGGGGGTCACAATCTTAACATTAGATATTCAGATGACATAGTGTTGATAGCAGACATAAAAAAAACTACAGGAATTCCTACAGATTGTAATAGAGGAAAGCGAGAAGAAAGGTATTATTTCCCAGGTTGTTGGGATGAACAAAAAATATAGTAATGTAAATAAGAGATATATATATATATATATATAGTAAAGACAATCCTTAAATACATTTCGGTTATAATTTATTTCATGAATATATTTAGATATTCATCTCTTAGAATTAGCCCTACCAATTACCAATTGGCATTATATATATATATATTACTTTGATATATATATATATTACTTTGATATATATATATATATATATATATATATATATATATATATGATAAAGATAAAAGGAAAAATGTAAATCTCTGTCCCAGATTTTTTCTAATATCTCCTTTCCTAAAAAATGTACTTCTTTTCCAAGCCAATATGCATGACCATTTGAAATAGTTAAATCAAAACTTTCTTTTATTTAAAATAAATAAATGCATTAATAATTCATCAAATTAAAATGCAATGATAAATAAGAATTGCATTAATAATAATAAATGTATATATATATATAAACAAATAAGAGAAAATTAACAACATTAACAACATTTAATCACTTTCGTTTATTAAGCAGCATATTATATCACTTAATATCTTCCATATTTTACATTGACTTTAACAGTCTGATAAATAATGAAGGGCATTCTTAAATTTTTTTTTTTTTCGAAAATATAAAGATATTTTTACTTCTGTTTATAAATACATATTGCAAAATAAAATCCTTGCATTAGCCTTGATAAAATCCAACAAAGGACGAAACAAATTACTACAGATAATATTTTTCTCTTTATTCATTGAACGTTTAAATTTTTTCATTTATACCTGAATTTTTTACACAGATATGTGTCTGTGTATTTGTGCATATGCTTAAATAATAAATGATATAATATAATATATATGTAAATAATAAATAAAAAGTACTTTTAAGTTGGTTTTTCTCATGATGAAAGAGAAGAATGAAACCGAATGACTTTTTAAAAAGCCGTTAATATTTATTCTGTGTCTTTTGTTTATAGTTTTCTTGTTCTTGTTGAAATTTATTAAATTCAAAGGAGAAAAGCCGAGAAAATGTATAAATACATTTCAACAAGAACTAGAAATGATTGCCAATGATTTTTACTATAGAATTGCACTGGCAATGATACTATAGAAATTCACTAGTAATGATTTGCAATATAGGAATGCATTACAAATTAGGAGGGAAATATTTATAGTCAGGAAATACTGTAAACAGTATTGAGAGAACAGGGCTATTATATACTAGCAGTAGAACCCGGCATTGCCCGGGGATGTAACAGTAAGAGATAAATCAAGTATCGACCATTATAAAGACTGAAAAATAAAATTGACAAAGATTATTGTTTAAGGTTGACGGACACGCATGTCTTAATTAGTTTTTTTTTTTTTTTTTTACGAATTGGTCAAACCCAAACTCAAACAAAAACATTGTTTTCAATCGTTATGAGACTACCGTTTGAATAGAATTTTATTATAAACAATTGTCTTGTAAATGGAATTTTTAAAGCATTCTGAATGTAAAAATAAAGAAAAAGTGTGCAAGACAATAAGAAACACTACCTGCCAAAAAAAAGTGAAGTTTTGTTGAAATCGGTTGAAAAATGTAGGAAATCCGATCCCATATATAAATGAACACACACACACACACACACACACACACAATCTGCGTTTTATAATAAGTAAGATTATTGCTAATCATTTTACAGTAGAAAATCAAGGCAATAAAAATAAAAGTGGTTTAAAGCAATTATTACTGACAAGCAGGGCTACTCAGTGCTGCACATGTATTATAACAAAACAACACCAGTAATGTACAAAATTAATAGTGGCGAATATCAATTTATATATATATATATATATATATGGTGCGATGGATAAATTGTCGTCTAATTTACACAAAATAAATAAATAAATAAAAAAAAAAACACCGACATCTCATTTTAAAAGTTTAAATAATAAAGAGTAAATTTACTCAATAAAATCGCAATTGGCTTCAACAACAGCCACCAGACGACTTTGGTATCTACTGCAACTCTTCTGGGCGGTCTGCTTGTTTAAGTTGAATGCTGCCATAATCCTTGCCTTCAGTTCATCTTTGGTGTTACAAGGAGTTTTGTTGGTCTCTCGCTCAAGTGCGCCCCACACATAATAATCACCATTAATACTTTACATCCTTAATACCATATATGCCCTGATTCAGTATGTCCGAAGGAAGGTTTTCATATTAATACCATATTAATAATGATGCCAGAAAGAGCAATACAAATGCTGAAGGATGTTTATCTATATTTTATAGATTATGCAAAAGAAATTGATAAAGTACGTCACATAGAACTGCTAGGTAACCTTGATATATTTGGGAAGGATATTAGAATAATCCAGAACTTATACTGGCATCAAACCGCCTGCATACGGATAAAAAATGAATTTAGTAAATATACAAAAATAGAAAGGGTCAGAAGACAAGGATGTGTCTTCTCACCGGACTTTTTCCACCTTTACAGCGAGACAATAACGAGAGAATTAGAAGTCCTAGTAGGATTCATTATTGGTGGCAATATTCTTAACAACATTAGATATTCAGATGACATAGTGTTGATAGCGGACATAAAAAGAAAACTAAAGGAACTCCCGCAGATTGTAATAGCGGAAAGCGAGAAGAAAGATTTTATATCCCTGGTTGTTGGGATGAACAAAACCGAATGAAAAAAAAAGCAAGTATATTTTAACACATAATAAAATAACTTTTATTCGTTTATTGCCTGAGAACATCAAAGATTTGTTTGGATTTAAACCACGTGCGTGGTAGCTTATCACCATCGGACAAGGGACGTAACTCACTTGTATTTTGAGTTATCGTCCTTTATAGGGGGAAATAAGTTTGCACTCCCTAACAAAAGGACTAAACATCAAATGTAAGAAAACAGAATGCATAGTTGCCAGCAAAAGGAACAGTCCAACATGCGAATTACAAATTTCAGATATCGAATACAAAGATTTAAATATCTGGGAAGTGTGTGAACAGAAACCAGAAAGAGTGAGACTGAAATCCAAAAGCGCATTGGGATAGTGAAAGATACCTTCCAAAAGTTAACATATCTTTAGAAACAAAAAGAGTACCGAAGTGTTATGTGATATTGGTCCTCCTGTATCACAGTGAATGCTGGACAATCTCCTCAAAGATGAAGAAGAGACTTGAAGCAACAGAAATGTATTTCCACAGAAGGATGCTGATGATACCATGTACTGAACATGCGACCACTGATGAGGTTTAAGAGAAAATGGAAACAAAAAGAAAATACAGTTGAAATCTCTTGAGCACATAATGAAGAAAGAGGACTTAGAAAATATGACACTCACAGGACATTTTGAAGACAAGAAGCTTAATTAGTAGGACTTGTATCAGTAAATCAGTATTACCTCAAAAAACTCTTACAATCTTACATATATTTTCTGATTTTAAATAACCTGCAAAAGGTTGATAAGCCGTAAAAAACAAATCAATCAAAAAAAGATTTTCGATAAAAAAATTATAAAAATCAATTATTGGAAGTCTTTAAGAATACTTTGATTAAGCATTTTTGTTAAATTTTCCATATATCTGCCTTAACTTTTTAATTGTTTTTACAAATTTAAATTGAATTTCTTTGTCATTTTAGGTCGCACCGATCATCAAAGGGCGTATGGTATCTGCCGGGACCTTGATGGTTGGTTACCAACCAATACCAAGCCTGAACAAAGTTAACTTTTTCCGATTTGTTCTCTGTCAAGAAAACTGTGAAAAGTGTGATCTGGACTTCATCGTTGAAGAAATTCGTCATCTGGGCGAAGATCTCTAAGCGATGATTAATTTCTGTGTTTATGTTAGCAAATTACCCTTCATATTGTGCCTTATAAAGTTTATGATGCAAATTTTAGTCCGAAATTGTATCACATTCTAATTATATATATATATATATATATATATATAGAGATAGAGAGAGAGAGAGAGTGGTGGCATCCTACCGGTTCGCACTTAAAATTATGAAAGCAGTTGTTGGATTATCCGAAAATACTCTTATATATTAATATCCGGTGTTCTAAATAATATGTTACTTACGCTACGCCTAGTGTAACTCTAATAGTCACACGTCCCATACCGTTTTGAAGTTTAAAATGTGGCAGATCTCATAAATTTGATAAGTCTTCCATTGGATCTTTGAAACTGCAGCGATTTAGTTCGAATGTAGCTAAGAAACCATTACACAGTAAATAGTATAACTACAGTAAAAAAGCATCATAATTCTGAACTGAAATAAAATGAGAACAGAATTTCAAACTGGAAATATTTTAATAAATTAGTGTTTTCTATTAAATTATCAAAATAGCTTAATTCTTTTTGATACTATTAAGTGATTAGTTTTTGTTCTCGGATTAAAAAGAAAATGAACAAAATAGATTCCTAAAGAGCCGGTTCCTGGAAATTTAGGATGTCACCATTAGATAGATAGATAGATAGATAGATAGATAAATAGATAGATAGATAAATAAAATATATTTTAAGATATGCTATATTTATGGCTGAAAGTGTTGAATATCAGGAATAGAGCGTATATAAAAGTGGACATTCAAATCAACACCCAGAGGTAACAGTTCATTTATATTAAATAGTAAATACGCGAGCAGCACAATGCTTTCTAAACATATCTGGGAGATAAAAAAAATAATAAGTCACACCAAAAATATCATGAGAAATAAGGAAAACAGCATCAGCCAACAACAATAAATCTAAAAACTGTAAACACTGTCTGGTAAAGAAACTAGTTATAATTATGTTCCCAGACCAATACAAACTACTAAACAAAGGATCTGAACTCATCTCAAAATGCAGACACGAAAACAAATTTTTGCTACGTTTCTTAAAAGTCGAAAATTGAAAATGAACAAGAATAAACAAAAATAAAAAATAAAATAAATAAAAAGAAATAAAATAAATTAACCCACACAAATAAATAAGCAAATAAACTAAGTAAATAATAAACAAATTGACAAACCACACATAAACACAAGTAAACATAATAAGGACCAACAATAAAATAATAATAATAATGATAATAATAATAACAATAATAATAATAAATGTTGACAAACAACACTATAAAACTGCACCTGGACCCACGATTGCTCCCACGCAGTATCCCTTAGAATAATTTTGAAACGTAACCATCACCTGTCAACAAAATAACCATTAGAATAATACAACACACTACCCACAATGCATCACTGACCTGTATATGCAAAAACAATGGATATGGCCTGACGATTACCTCTAGCGGGAAGCAGACTGTCGCCTCAGGGTGTTGATTTCAATGTCCACTTTTACACATTGATATATATATATATATATATATATATATATATATATATATATATATATATATAAAAAAAGACAAAGTGGAAAATGTTTTCGTGTAAGGCATATCGTCCTTTAAGACATTATTGGCCTAAGTTTGTTTACATTGATACGACTTCAAATACGCACGAAAGGAAGAAGGACGCAGATAATTTTTAAATTTATACGTTTTTTTTTTATTTATTTAATATGTGTTTTCGGAATATCATCTCGCCAATTTCATTAAGATTCTTTTTCTTGTTGTTTATGTTTCCATTACTTTTGTTATTAAATATTCCACATTGATAGTAGAAGATCTGCAAAGAATGAGGAAACATTGCAAGAACATGGACGTAAATTTACCGTGAATAATCTTGCGATTAAAGCACTTTTTGTCTTAGTAAATCTCTTTTAATTAAAGCTGATTTTTCAGATAAATAAAAATAATATAAAAATCTCAGCTTTCCTTCACGCGCATGCGTAGTCGCATCAACGTAAAAATAAACTTAGTCCGATGAAGTCCTAAAGGACGAAATGCGTGACACGAAAACTTCTTCCCAATTTGTCACGCTTCTTTCCCCTAAATTGTTCTTTATATATATATATATATATATATATATATATATGAAAAAAGTTTATAATTTTTTTATATATATATATTAAAAAATTATAAATCCTTTTCCTATATATATATAGAAAAAGTTGCAAATTAAAAAATAATAATGTTCTTTTGTGAAAGTATTTATTTATTTGTATATATATTTGATATTTCAGATTGGCCTCACTCTTTCTTCAGAAAGATTTCTGAATAAGGATTGAGATTCTTCAGAAAGATTTTCTGAAGAAAGATTGAGGCCAATCTGAAATATCAAATATATATACAAATAAATAAATATTTTCATAAAAGAACATTATTATTTTTTAATTTGCAACTTTTTCTATATATACATATTAAGAAAGTATATGTGGCTTCTCATTATGCTATATATATATATATATATATATATATATATATATATATATATATATATGAGCAAAATATCATTAAAATGTTTAATTACTTATGTCCTGAAAATTCTAGTTATCTTATGTCTAAATACATATGCCCCATCCTCTCATTAAAAAAAAGTCTAACCTATTCAGTGTTAAGTTTTGCTAGCTTACAGAACATGAAATTTTAGGATTGTCATAAAAATGTTCTTTTGTCATTAGATTACATTTGACTATAGATTTATTAGTTTTCAAGGTCTCATCAAACGTTGAGTTTCCATAATTTTCTTTTTTTTTGTTCTTGTTATTACAGAGGTTTACGATTGTTTATTTTTATTTGCATCACAAAATGTGCACCTCATTCATATTTGCATCGTGCCATGTACACCTACTTCAGATTTGCATCTCGAGATATCTACCCCATTCATTATTTCTTCACACCATATACACAACATCCAGATTTCCATCATGAGATGTACATTCCCTTCAGATTTACATTAAACAATATTCACACGCTTCAGATTTGCATTACATGATAACCACACCCCTACAGATTTGCATCATGCGATGTACACCCCTCTAGATTTGTATTACACAATGTACACCCGGTTCATATTTGCATCACATGATAACCACACCTACAGATTTGGATCATGCGATGTACACCCGCTTCAGATTTGTATTACACAATGTACACCCGATTCATATTTGCATCACATGATAACCAACCCTACAGATATGCATCATGCGATGTACACCCCCTTCTGATTTGTATTACACAAAATTTACACCCGGTTCAGATTTGCATTAAGCGATATCTACCCACTTCATATTTACATCACGTGATGTATGCTCCTTTCGGATTTGCATCATGTGGTAGACACCTAGTTCAGATTTGCATTACGCAATGTTCAACTGGTTCAGATTTGCATCATACGATATATGAACCGTTCAAATTTTCATCATGTGATTGTACATGCCCTTCAGATTTTCATTACACAATGTACAGCCAGTTCAGATTTACATCACACATTACTCCATTCAGATTTGCATCATGTGATATACAAACTGTTCAGATTTTCATTATACAATGTACACCTAGTTCAGATTTGCATCATGTGATATCTGAGCTCTTCAGATTTGCATCACCTGACATTTGCCCCCTTCAGATTGAAATCACATGATATTTGCCCCCATCAGGTTTACATCTCATGACACGCACCTCTTTCAGATTAGCATTACACGATGTACACCCAGTTCAGATTTAAGTTTATTCAATTTTTCAGTGAAATCTCATAATGAAAAAAGAAGGTTAATTTCCTTAGAATATTGTTAAAAATATCTAAAACTATTCTTTGTTGACAACGATAAACTATTCTGAGAAATTTCAATCCTAAAATTGCCTGAAAGATGGCAGAATATTGTGTAACAAAATGTTGTTCAATAAAATAATTGTTGACAGTTTTAACAAAATGTTTGTTTTTATTTTAAAAAAGAAAAGTACAACACAAATACAGTAAAATAAAATCGTTGCAAAAATTTAAGCCCTTCACCGCCAATAATTTTGGGAAAAAAGTTTCATTTTCAGACGAATTATTTAATTTGTTTTTTAACATAGTGTTGTAGCATATGTACGGACGATAAAGGGTATATCTCCATTCACATAAATACAGTAGTAAATACTGTATGTTGTTCTGCAGTTATCTGATTGTTACCAGCTGTGCGAGTCAAACTCTCTGCCTTCGAGCAGAGAGGATCCCCAGACGAGGCTATGCCGACCTTGTTTTATATGGGGCCTAAGGGGAATTTTTGGCTGAGCCTACGGGCCCGGATACCCCACATTAAATTCGGCCTTGTGCCACATCTGGATGCGTGGGGCGGTCGGTAGATACCCTGAAGCTGAAGATTCATCTCCAGCTGTGCTGGTCAAACTCTCTAACTCCGGGCCGAGAGGATCCGCGGACGAGGCTATATCGAAGGGCAGAGTCTCGTCTCGGGAAACAGATACCTGTCTACGAGGAATTTTTGGCCAAATCTATGGGATCGGATAAGCCACATTTAATTCGGCCTTGTGCCACATCTGACCGCGTTTGGACGGTTGGTAGATATCCTGCAGTTGGAGATTCGTTGTAGAATTCACTTGACTCACTTCTAGCAGTTGACTTCTACGCGCTACTGGTGAATCTTATATATGTTGTTCTTGTCCTAAGTAATATCGTTCATTACCAATCTTCGTGTGATTATTCTATTCACTAACCTACCCTAGGTTACAACACATAGTAACTAAGAAACTGAGGAACCTTGAAGTACCCGAGCGGTGGCTAACATCTCTACTAGTCGTTGACAAATGGAACCGTTTCAAGCCCAGAAGAGCATAAAAAGAATCAATGTCGACGTATAAACACGCCTGTGGTTGTTTTTTGAACGTTATGTTTTGGACGTGTTTATTCGACCGTATCTGAAATAGACGTTTTTTCGGTAAAAACGTATATACACGTCTACTCCGGGGAAGGGATGTTTTAGCTTTCTCATTCATTGTCATAAACGAGTTTCGTCCTCTTTTCACAGAGTTTCAGTTGTTTATCCTCCAGTCTTCGTCAGCTGTGTAAAAGCCGGAGGGTAAACAGCCAAAATATTGGTTTAAAAGAAAAAAGACGAAGAAACTTGTCCAAATCCATGCAATAAATAAAAAATTAATTTAAATTTGGGGATTTGTCTCTATTTTTGCAACTCACATACATACGCACAGACGCACACAAACACGCATACACGAGTACCAATATATACACATACTCACATACACACGCACATAGACATACATGCACACATACACACGCACGCACGCACATACCAGGTGTAACAGCAAAATTGTCCAAATCGTGTTACAACACAAATACAGTAAAATAAAATCGTTGCAAAAATTTAAGCCCTTCACCGCCAATAATTTTGGGAAAAAAGTTTCATTTTCAGACGAATTTTTTAATTTGTTTTTAACATAGTGTTGTAGCATATGTACGGACGATAATGGACAAAATGTTTAATATCTAAAAAAAAAAAAAACACTAAACTGAGTTTCTTTTTTACCAGGTTTTCAGATAAGACCATCTTGACATCATTTATCGTAAGAATCACTAAAAACCTTTTGATTTAATCGTTTTGTGTCAGCCTCACTGTCTTCTCAACTGAGCAATGGTGAGAG